TATCAATTGTAGGGCATACTAAAAGTTGTGTTAAAGTATTTTAATGCAAAGTAAAGTTATCTGTAAAGTAAATGGGCGCTTAAATAGAACTGATGTTATAAATAGTAGAACCACCTGTAAAGTAAGTGAGTCCACGTTGATTTAATGAATTGTGGGAGTTATAACGACCCTGGTAGCCGTTACTGGATTAATTCCCACACAGGGTTTGCATATGAATACTTGGGGCCTAGAGCCGACCATTAAGTGCGGGCCCCAAGTTTAGCGATACTAAAATTCTATCAAACATCGACAATGCGCACAAGCAGAAATCGCTGTGCTCTATGACTAGAATCGATATTTTCTCAATGTATCGAGTTAAGACGAGACGCTTTATTCCTACGTATCCGACTACTTCGACGTACGAGACAAGACTAGCATTTTTTAGGTCCGTAACTAGTACAGGCATCCCAAAAGAAATACACCTACATTGGTCAGAATACAATAGGGTATCCCAAATTTACATACCAGGTACAAGGGGGTGGAGGCGGAGGGGGAGGGGGAAGGGCTCACTCAATCAACCCATCGCCAGCCACCAAACAATCACCCGGCGACCGTGGTTCTCTTCCCTGCACACGAGTTGTGCCACCAATGTGTTTCTATAAAATACAGCATTGTTCAAGTTCGAGATGGGGAGGGGGGGGGGGGTGTGGGTAACTTACTTGGCCTAACATCAACCGTGGCCTCAGTCGTAGCAATAAACAATGGCGAACTTTGACCTTTTAGTTTTTTTCCAATTTAATTCAACGGTGACCGCAGCCCGACCCCGGTAGGGTAATGGAAACTGTAAATTCTTTTGTTGGGCTTGGCATATAGCCCCCCCCCCCCCCAACATCCGGCATGTCCCCAAACTGTTTTCTCCCTCCCCGAATGAGTCAGTCATTCTTTTGGATATATATGCACGGAGTCTTCTCAAGAGTTCAGCTAAGTCAATTTTTTAAAATGCTTTTCTATTCGTATTCTGATTAATAACATAATGTGTGTTATAATTTATCGTCAATTGTAGGGCTACTAACGCTTTTAACACCGTAATTTATATATATATATATATATATATATATATATATATATATATATATATATATATATATATATATATATATATATATATATATACAATTTATGGGGGCATCTTCCTTTGGTTTTGCCCCGGGCAGCAACATAGCTCTGCACGCCACTGCAACACAGTAGGATTAGAGCACACTTACTTAGTTGATGATACGCGGCAAGTCATGAGTAGTTGGGGTCAGGGGTCATCCATAAACAACTTAACGCCCCAGGGAAAGGGGGGGGGGCTGTGACAGGGAGTGGGGTAAGAGCCGAGACTTTGCATAACTCTCTAAATTGTTGCGTGTGCTTTAAATCGTGTTTTAATATTATGCGCTTTAAAAATCACAGACTAAATGCGAAGTAGATTTACTTTTATATTACTTTTATTTATCTAAATAGCCTTACCTATTATTTACCTATCACCTATTAATTTAATGTTTTAAAGTAACTTTTCGCTAAATCAGCTTGGTAAACTGTAATCGTAATTTCAACAATATCTACATCTACCCAGCAACAACTAGTGAGACCAGAGTTTCTTCCAGGCATCTCTTCGGGGGGCATCCCCCCCCCCCCCGAAAGAAATGGAATTTATATAGAAAATATATACTTTTGACAGTGTCCGCCCTCCCCTCCCCCCCCCCGAAAATTGTTGCCCCCCCCCCCCCCCCCCCCCCCGAAAATGTCAAGTGCATACCCGGAGAAATAAAGTCTGGAAGAGTGAGACATCAACAGAAAGAACGATATTTTAGTTGAAGTCGGTGATGTTGAAAATGTAATATCTACACTCGATGTTTCTGTGGATGTCTCACACGTTGTAGGAGTGAATGTGTCAGAATTGAAAATTTCTGTACTTGCTGATGTTGACATTAATCCCTTCGTACTAAATGCCGAGCAAATAAAAGGAACTAATGTGTACAATATGGATTCACATGTATAACGGAACTTGATGGGAGTCAGCGTCCTAACTGCACGATTAGTATTGCCAACTTGAGCAGTTCTAGTCTATCACCGGCAAAATTAAGAGAACATTTTATTAAGCTGCATGGAAATGGAAAATACAATAATACAACACTCGCTAAATTCAAGGTGTCTGAAAAGCAACAGCAGAACTCATGCTGATTTGCAATAAATTATCATTCATAATGGGTTTTTTGTGTTGTGAAAATCATATTTTAGTGTTTTTTGTTCTTCGAACCCAATCAGCCCAGTGTTAGTTAATTTCGTTAATTTCTTATTATAAAGGTTTCGGTGAAGTAGCGTATGAAGCTGGTGAGGTTTGGTACCTCCCAAAAGATTTTTTGTTTATTTTTATTTTTTTCTAGTGTTGTTGTTTAATAAATAAGCGGTCGGTTATGTTCGGCTTTTGGTGCTGCCGCGGATTTACAATATTTCTCGTATAGTTCTGATATTTAGAAACTCCGGCTAAATTTCTGATTATTTTGTTTACTGAAGTTGACGATAGGGAAATCTTAACTCAAAACCAAACTATTTTTCTTTATCATCTGAATAATTATTGAATAATAGGTAGATTATCTATTATTATAATTGAAGACTATCATTAGAATATTTAGTAAGCTACCTCTATAATCTAGATCTAGAAGTAGATGTCATGATTGAATTTGAATCATGAATCATGATGATGGAGATTGGAGATGTTGGTAATCTATCGTTTTGGGTACGTAAAATCGCCCGCGATTTGTAATGTGAAAAACAGGTGACTCCTTAAATTTTAATAATTATTTCACATTTTGAGGAGGATTTATGTTTTAAAAAATTCAAAAATGTTTCCTTGATTCATTTATGTACCTGTTTTTAAACAATTGAATTAAAACTTTTCCGTAATAAATGAAGACTAGCGATGTTTCCAACAGATGCAACCATGCTCATTTACTATAGCAGCCATCTTGTCTAAGTTTTATTTTTATAAGCTTTTAGCGCCAGATTCAGGGGGAAGCCACTCTATTTTACAAATGGCTGCTGTTTATATAGCAAATCTTGCTCTCAGACACTGCTGTTTAAAGTTAATTTCTGGCCTATATCGATATATTTAGCCATTGATTTGGGTTTATTATTCATTTATCTATAATATTTGACACAAAAGTATGACAATATACTTCTATTACAGCCTTGACAATGAGGTAACGTTTTCGTACATAAATAGCCGCGGGCGATTTTACGTACCCAAAACGATAGATTACCGAGATGTTGTATAATGTATAAAAATTATTATATTAAACTTTTAGGCCTATTGAATGTATTCCGATTCCTCGACGATTAAAAATTAAAAGTCAATTGAATGAAACTTTTAACTTTTACTTTTAACTGTTCGGTTGACTTTTGCCGTAGTTCTTGAACTTTTCTTGGTACAAAAACAACTTATAGGCCCTACCTGCGTAATCACTAAATTAATTAGTAAATTGCGTGACACAATTTGCAAGACAAAAGTCACAATGTTTTTGCTGGACATGGTCTCTTCTTATTAGATCTAGGCCTACTTCTTAAGTTCTTAGTTTCATGGTTTTTTTTTGTTTTTTTTTCTAAAGATGGGCAAGAAGAAACGTTTTTCAATAAAAAAACAAGTTCAAGTAGAAAATCTAGTCTAGTTGTCAGCAGTTTACTAGATTGGTCACGATTATTGTATCTTTTTTTTTATCTAGCCTAGGTACAGATTGTTTAAAAATATGCTAGAAATTTGCGGATTCTTAATATCGTTGCTTCTATGATCGCCAGCTCACGTTTTCTTGGCAATGGGTAAAATACCAATACAATAGAGGGGTTATAGAGTTCACATTAGTATTAGATGACTGTAGGCCTTTAGCATAGCATATGTAATGGCATAAACATTGCTATCTGTGATTGTGTGTAGTAGCGTCACTTTTGTTTCTACCGAAACCAAGTAATATAAAAAATTTACTCTCTGTATGTTCATAAAGGGACTAAAGCATAAATTATAGAATTGTTAATGAACTCGTATTTTTCCCAAACAGAGCAAAAGAAAAATTTACTTGGGGTCATGGGAATTCACATAAGCTAAAAGGCCAACTATCACATTAGCTTTAAGAAACAGGGCTCGAGAAATGTAGCCTACATTTCTTTTATATAATGGCAACAGTTACCAATAGGCTTTTTTTTTGTAAAAATATTAAGTATATTGAACTAATTGAAAAATATGAGCAGAAATAAAAAGAAACTGTTTAAATGAACACTAAAAGAGGAAAAATAAAGTACATTTTTGCACATAAGTGTTCTTGTAGCTTGTATTATTTACAATACAAGCAGAAAAGTACATAGATTTCACACAAAAAGTGGACATACTGCATTTGTTGAGGGTAAAGAGGACAAATGCAGTATGTCCACTTTTTGTGTGAAATCGATGTACTTTTCTGCTTGTATTGTCAATAATGCAAGCTACAAGAACACTTATGTACAATGTCAGAAAAGTAGAATGCTAATATTTTATGAATGTTTAAACATAATATTTTGCACTGTTTTAATATTGGAATGAGATTTATAAACTCATTTTTCTCGAGATTACGTTTTTTTGTACATACTCATACTGTGTTTGTCCTCTATACCCTGGTTATGTAGTAAAAAAAAAATTTAATCTTTGGCAAAGTTTTATGTACAAATTACAAGAAAGTGAGGTTGTTCAGAAGATCAATCACAGTGTTTCCCAATTTGTGAAATCTGAAGTCTAATTTGTAAAAAAAAATATATACCTATAACTGTTAACTTACAGTTTGAAAATATCCTAGACTTCATTAAAATATGATGCATAATTATTAATTAAATGGGCCTTTAAGTATCTAATAGTGTTCCTTAATTATATCTGTCGGCTTATCCTTTGAATTTATATTTCCATTAATAATATATATATGTCCCTATTGGTGAAATTTTTTTTTCTTTCCAGGTTATACTAGTTCAAACTGCTATGGTGTTAGGAAATAAATTCTGAAGGTAACCAATGACCAAGCCTCAAAAAGACAGCTTTTCATCCAGTGCTGGGGAATCATTGTGCTGCTGCGAGTATCAAAACATGCATGGTGAAAAAAGCCACGTTCTTGCCTCATGTTGTGATTGTGAGGCGTTGGATGAAACATTTGATAGGTGAGTTAGCTTTTTAATCAACCAAATGCATTTCTGGAACATTATTAAAGTTTGCCTGTTTTCTACACAAATGTTGGTCTTAGTTTACAAATGAAAGAAACAGGACTTACTTTGGGAGGTATATCATCAAAATGATACAAGTGAACAGTCTTCCTTACTAATTAAACAATGGAATGGACACACTTTACTACACTAGAGACATTGTTAACCTTTATAAATCAGCAACTTAAAAGCAAAAGAGACTACATTGTAGGAGGCTTTATTTGATCTCCTAGTTTACTTGGCCTTGACTCTACTTTATTGCCCTAGTGCAAAGTATGTTATGAATTGGTGTAAGTTTTTTTGCAACATGATTGCTCAATAGAAAATTGAGAGCAATATATTTTTTTATACTTGCTAGAATCTTCAAATGTGAGAAAGTACCAGACTCCACCATAGACCGCCTCATCAACACCATATCAGACAGATGTCGGATCCCATCTTGCTTCGGGGGCGGAGCCGTGCAGCTCAGGCCTGATGTTGTGGCACCAGTTTTAATAGTCCCGACATGTCTCTGCCTTGCGACCCTCCATCCTGTAATGACGGTGGTGGTGTTCCTGTTCATGCCCTTGTTTGTCTTAACCTTCCATGCCCTCTGGCGCAGGCAGAAGAAAAATCGCAGGACCTATTTCTTTTACTACTGGGGAATAACTTCTGTGATAAGCTGTTACTGTGTTTTTCAGGTAGGTAGACAGCTTTATTTTTCATTTTAAAAATTCTTGCCTGTTATGCGATCAATAGATAGTTGAATTAGAATTTTATTGTATTGTTTCTTAGTGAACTAGTAAAACACATTTCTTTCTCAGGCTATTCTTAGTGATTTGTCTGGGAAACATTTTCAATAATCAGTGGTACAAATTGGGATGACAACTATTGCTAATTTCTAAGTTTCATTAGCAATTTGCCTTTAAATTTGACTTACACTGGATGAACTTTTGTGCTAAACATTCTAATGACAACTTGGGAATGCATTTTTTGTAAACCATCTCAAAAAATCTTTGCCCAGATTAATTTGCTTTAACATTTTTCTCCTGTATTTTAGATTTGTTCTAGAACTTATATAAATTCCATTTTGGTGGGTTTTTTTTTTTGCCAATCTCATTTGTTCGCTAATAATTTAAGACAATTTCTTTAATTAGAAAAAATATACTTATAACAGTTTTAAAAGGATTTGTTTTGCTCATCTGAGCAAGATTCTAAGATAAATGGATACTGTAGAAAATATCAAAATATTCTAAACAAAATCATTTGGTGGAAATTGATATTGATAAAGACTAATTTCTCTTAAACGTAATAACAGAAGTATTTATATGTTTCTTTGCCTCCCCAGTTTTTTGTTGTGGCGTTTAGAGAAGTCCTCCTGTGGGAGATCCTGACGGTGTTCACCTGCATGATGGTCATGTTCTACTTCCTACACCTGACAAAACAAGACCCTGACAGTTTGCTTGTGGAGTACAAGTCACGTCCCAGCCATAAGAGGACAGCATCAAATGACCTGTTGCTTGGGTCAGCTCACCTCTATGACCAGGTACATTTTTTAGATCAGTACATTTGTAAAATTAGTACACCTATATGACCAAGTAAAAATTTTAGACCACTACATTTGTTAAAGCGATACACCTGTATGACCAGTTAACCATTTTAGAGCAATACATTTGTGATATCAGTACATATATAGTTCGGTAAGATTTATCAGACTATTTCATTTGTTTACATCTAGTTTGTGAAATGATGTTAAAGAATATTTTTGGCTTGCGATCTAGTCAAAATATAAGGAGTCTTAGTTGTTTTTGTTTTATAGATGCCTTTTTACTTTCTCGTATATGAAGTATAGAGGAAGTATTGTAATTGTGCAAAAATCGAAATAGAGATTTTCACAAATCTCGATGTTTTACACCTCCCTGAGTAGAAAAACATAGTTTTGCAATTTAGTCTATATGTATGTCTGTGAATACGATAACTTGAGTACAGTTACAGCTAGGTTGATAAAATTTCATATAAAAGTATTATATCAAATTTGTAGTTCTATATCAACTTTTCAGTGATTTCCGTTAACCGGAAGTGGAACTTATTCTACCCTTGGTTTTTCAAAAGCCTATAACTTGAGTTCTGTTTAAGATAGATAAACAAAATTTCAATTAAAAGGATAATATCTAATTCTCTGCCTTTTTTTTTCAAATTTTGAGTAATTTCCGTTGACTGGAAACAATACTTTACGCTTTTTCCGATTTCTCAATAAACACATATGAATTTATAAAGTACTAATATTCCCGCACTATTATACACATATTGTTTGGCGTTCATTGGTGAGCAATTCTTTTTTTTCTATGAAAATCTATTCTATTTTCAAAAGTTAAGGTAATTAAAAATGGATTAAAAATCATGTCTATATCCCGAGTTGCCATCACCCGTAATGTATAAGTATATTCAAGGAAGTTAAATGGAGATCACTCCCAGTTTATTTAAGAGTAAAATACATTTATTGCATAAATAAAAACAAAATCTCTTCACTATTTAGGTCAATGATGCCAGCCTGCCACAAGGAACAGATGAGGGAGATTTGACCGTTGTCTCAGTTGATAGTAGCAAGCAGCGGTCTACTGGTGGGCCCCTAAGACATCTTTTATTTGTTTAACAAACTGTAGTTATGTGCTATAACGTTTAACTTAATGTGTCTCAGTTGATAGTAGCAAGCAGCGGTCTACTGGTGGGCCCCTAAGACATCTTTTATTTGTTAAATAAACTGTAGCTATGTGCCATCAAGTTTTACCCACGATAAGAGTGCTATTAAGTTTAACCTAGTGTGTTGCTATGCTATTTAACCTAGCGTGTCACTGTTTTATAAATTTTAACCTAGCATGTCACCGTTTTATAAATTTTAACCTAGCATGTCACTGTTTTATAAATTTTAACCTAGCGTGTCACTGTTTTATAAATTTTAACCTAGCGTGTCACTGTTTTATAGATTTTAACCTAGCGTGTCACTGTTTTATGAATTTTAACCTAGCATGTCACTGTTTTATAGATTTTAACCTAGCATGTCACTGTTTTATAAATTTTAACCTAGCGTGTCACTGTTTTATAAATTTTAACCTAGCGTGTCACTGTTTTATAAATTTTAACCTAGCGTGTCACTGTTTTATAGATTTTAACCTAGTGTGTCACTGTTTTATGAAGTTTAACTCCAATCTTAGGTAACCCAGACCTACCAGCAAGGGCAGGCTACTGTAAAATATGTGAAGCCTACATTGCAGTAAGAGATCATCATTGCATTTGGTAAAAATTTGTTTTTATAAGCTTCTATTTAACTTACTTCCTTGTTCTTTTGTCTGTCTGTCTATTTATCTGTCTTGCTTTTGTAGTTTAGGATCAAAAAATGGCGAGCAAATTTTTGATAACTTATAATGGACTGATTCGTTTTAAATATACTTCGTGGGTCAAGACCCGATGACAATGCAATCTAACATCAAATTTTAATTAATTGAATGCTTAATAATTTTTAAAGAATTAATTAAATTTTGCTACAGTAAGTAGTATTTACTGGGCTATTAGACACACATAGTTCATGTTCTTTTGGTTCGCAATTGTTTTTAGTCATGCAATTTTGTTGTATTAAAAATTGTAAGTATTAGGAACTAATTAATAAAAAAAAAACGAAAGGTAGAAAATAAAACAACTAAATAGCAGTGCATGCTGTGCCGTTAACAAGTAATCAATGACTGACTTTTAAATTATAAACTCTGGTTTGTTTTTGCTTCAGCACATTTATTTCCGTAAACATTTTTATTACCAAATGGAAGTAACTAGCCTGTCAATAGAGTCTTGCTATGTTCTAATTTCATATCAAACCTAGAACTGAGATCAGAGCTATTTTTTTCTTTTCTACCACACATCATGTTCTCCCTGTTTTTTAAGGTTGTAAATTTGTGATATTTTTTTACTTCTAACAAAAAAGCTTAAGGAGTACAGTGAATTTAGTTTATTTGTTAATTTTTTCAAATTAAATTTGCTAGGCCTATATATTTATTGACTCAAACTGAATAGATCATTTAACTGTAATTTCAGGATTGACAGTTGTGTTGGTGGCCCAAATCACCGTTCATTTCTCTTGGCCATGATTATGTTCGTGTTCACTGGGCTGTACGCTGCACATCTTACGTTCACAACAATATGTACCCCCAAGATGTACTACGATTGGTTCCTTTTGCCCAATGACTGCCGGTGGCTTTATGTTGATTTTCTGTAAGTTTGTACCTGTGTTTGTGTGCTCTAATAAATGGATTTTGTCTGTGTTTAAGCATGTGTAATTTTCTGTATGTTTGTAGCTGTGTTGTGTGCTCTAATGAATGGATTTTGTATGCGTCTGTGTTTAAGCAAGTGTTTTTTTCTGTATGTTTTGTAGCTGTGTTTGTGTGTTCTAATGAATGAATTTTATATGCGTCTGTGTTTAAGCAAGTGTAATTTTCTGTATGCTTGTAGCTGTAGTGTGTTGATATTTTCCTGGAGAATATGTCCTTGCTTGGTTAAGATAATACACAACATTTGGTGGCCTGTGTGTTAAGCACAAGTATCATCCACACATAGTAGACTGACAAAGTACTGACCACATAATGCCTTTTTAAACTGTAAGCACTAAAAAGAAAATAAACTTATCCACTATGCTGTAACTTGCAATATCTAACAGCACTAATCAACTATATGATTGTGTCTTCTCTAAAAGATTTCTTTCATTGTAGGACTGACAGCTGTGTTCTGTTTGATTGTGTCTTCCCTGACATATTTCCTTTAGTACAGGACTGCCATCTGTTTTGTAACCACTGTCTACTGTATGATTGTGTCTTCGCTGATGTATTCCCTTTATTACAGGACTGTTTTGTAACCGCTGTCTACTGCATGATTGTGTCATGCCTAATGTATTCCCTTTATTACAGGACTGTTTTGTAACTGCTGTCTACTGCATGATTGTGTCATGCCTAATGTATTCCCTTTATTACAGGACTGTTTTGTAACTGCTGACTACTGCATGATTGTGTCTTCGCTGATGTATTCCCTTTATTACAGGACAGTTTTGTAACTGCTGTCTACTGCATGATTGTGTCATGCCTAATGTATTCCCTTTATTACAGGACTGTTTTGTAACTGCTGTCTACTGCATGATTATGTCATGCCTAATGTATTCCCTTTATTACAGGACTGTTTTGTAACTGTTGTCTACTGCATGATTGTGTCATGCCTAATGTATTCCCTTTATTACAGGACTGTTTTGTAACTGCTGTCTACTGCATGATTGTGTCATGCCTAATGTATTCCCTTTATTACAGGACTGTTTTGTAACTGCTGTCTACTGCATGATTGTGTCATGCCTAATGTATTCCCTTTATTACAGGACTGTTTTGTAACTGCTGTCTACTGCATGATTGTGTCATGCCTAATGTATTCCCTTTATTACAGGACTGTTTTGTAACTGCTGTCTACTGCATGATTGTGTCATGCCTAATGTATTCCCTTTATTACAGGACTGTTTTGTAACTGCTGTCTACTGCATGATTGTGTCATGCCTAATGTATTCCCTTTATTACAGGACTGTTTTGTAACTGTTGTCTACTGCGTGATTGTGTAATGCCTAATGTATTCCCTTTATTACAGGACTGCCATCTGTTTTGTAACCGCTGTCTACTGCGTGATTGTGTCATGCCTGATGTATTCCCTTTATTACAGGACTGCCATCTGTTTTGTAACCGCTGTCTACTGCGTGATTGTGTCATGCCTGATGTATTCCCTTTATTACAGGACTGCCATCTGTTTTGTAACCGCTGTCTACTGCGTGATTGTGTCTTCCCTGATGTGTCTTGGCCTGACGTACCAGTTCATCTTGATCAGCCAGAACGTCACGTCCCACGAGCTTGTCCATTCCCACCGACAGGGCCTGACCAGGTGTGGCCTTTACGCGAGGGACAACCCCTACAACAAGGGCTTCTTGAGGAACTGGATGGAGTTTTGGTTCCTGTCCTCACGGGCTGCAGATTCAAGGGTTTCATAAGTACAATACGTTATGAGTTCTAAGATTTGCGTTGTTTCTATAAGATAATGAGATTAAATTTGTGCTGTCAAGTGTAGCAGTAATAACTTTTTAAGTAGTAAGTAAATTTTTTGCGCTTCAAAATTTTTGGACTATAAGTGTAAGAAATTATTGCTAAAATTAACATTTCCTTTGCTTTATTATAATCTCTTGAATTTAACTGATCAGGAATAAGTGTTGGTGCAACAGTTTAAATATTTTTTACATATTTATAAAATTGTGCTTTAATATTTTTCTAATGGTTCCTGACATAAGATTTTTGTAATCAAAGTTTTAGTGCTGCACTATGTTGTAATTGTTTTGTAGCCTGATCTAAACCAAGTCCTAAATTTTGATTTAAAAAATTTTTCAGCATAACAGCAGAGGATAATTTACTTTTTATACATCACATTGTATGTGCTTCATCCATGTTTATTTTCTGGATGTGCTCGTAGTTTGATGGCTGCTTTTAGCAGAAAACATTGATTAATCAAATTTGATTGAATTTCTAATATATACACATTAATTACATTATTTGAGATGATGACATTAATTATGTAAACTACATTTTATATATAGATTTGCCTTATTTTTCTGATTAATAAAGTAAAATATTGAGTGTTTAATGGATGTGGTCATGTTATGTGACACAAGTCATGGTTTAGATGTGTTATTCGTCCAATGTTTAACATATGTGTGTTATTGGACCATACTTGGGTCAGTGTATTATTGGAGCAAAGAGATTAAGTCTGCAATAGCTGTGATGTTATCAATAACTTTCTACCCCTGATTGTCATTTTCATATTTTTTATTTACCAAAATTACTTCTGGACACACAGTGTCTTAATTATAGTTAGTTGATTTCATTTTTTTTAGTTTTTTAAATCTGCCAGTTAGGATATTCATGTCAAATCATAATACAATTTAGCAACTTAATTTTTTAAAATCTACTTTAAGTATGCCAGGTAAAATAGAAGTAATTTTAATAGCAATTTTAAATTTCCAACTACTACCTATTGCTTAAAATCCAGGTAAAATAGAAGTACTTTTTATAGCAATTTTAAAGTTCTAACCACTTTCAATTGCATAAAATCCAATTAAATAAATTTTCCAGCCTGCGTTTTCAAGCAATAATTTTTCTACCATTCCATCTTTTGTACATAAATTAAAGATTAAATAATGATTTTACTTTGAGATTGCTGTTTATGATAAGTGAATTGTTTAGTCATGATAATTTATAATTGTAATGTTTATCTGTGATTAAGTGTGAATTGCTGTTTTAATTTTAAAACTGTAATGAATTTTTTTTACGTTTATTGTTTTCTACTGTTGGTAGTGATGGAGAAATCATAGTCTAGATTTGCCTACCCTCTCCGTTCTCAGCTTGACTCAATACACACCTGACTTAATTACATTGCCATAATTGTCTTTGTTTTTCACCTAATTATTTTGTTCATTAGGACACAAGATTTATTACAGATATATAAATTAGATTTCTTCTAATACTAGCAAATTATTCAAATGTACTTCACATTCAACTAGTAGATCTTTTATTTAAGTATCAGATATTTTTTTTTAGTCACATTCTGAAAACAATCTTGTGTTGATTCTGTTTAACTTAAGGTTTTTTAAAAACAATTTAATTGTTGTTTCTCATTTAATTTAAATACTTAACTTGAACCTAGCTTTAATATTCTAGTTGTGACGCAGAGTATACATGGATAAAAGATGAACAAATAAAGAATTATATTATTTTATTTGTTACTTAGGATGAATCCTGTTTGAGCATGTTGAATAAACTTTTCTTATATTATTTACACTCAAGTATACAAACAGATAGTTTTGATGTATGTAATTTTTATTTGCATTTGATTGTTTCTTTATTTGTGTTCTGTTTAAATTCTTATGTAAATAAAAATAATTAATTAATCATAATAAATAATAAATTTTGAACTTTTTTTCTTTTTTTCTGCTTGTCCATTCTAAAAGGCTTATAGTTTACACCCTCTATGGTCATTGTATTTAATCAGTGGGATTTCTGTGTTGGTTTGATATAACACCTGTAAGCTCAATGTATTTAATGCATTATTTTTCAATGAAAAATGTGTGGGGTTTATGAAAAATTAATGGTTTGTTTAATCAGAGTAGGAAATGTTTATGTTCGTGTGTAAAATAATATGGTTCCTTCTGTGACAAGTTTTTTTTTTAAAGCCATGTTAGCTCGTATAGTGTCGGCCAGTCTAGACAACACGTATGAATACATTTTTTTCTTTCTTTATGCTATTTAAACCAAGTTAGTCATTTCTTGTCAATAGTAACGTGCTAAATATGAATACGTGCAATCAACAGTGTGTGATGTGTACATCGTGGTATTACGTAATGCAATGTTACTCCTTTCTACGCTTGTTGATATAGTAATTTAGTTCTACCAGATGCACATTGAAGCAGTAAACAATCATGGAATATGATCAAACTGAGAGCCAATTTAAAACTATCCTTGTTATATTCATGTTAAGCACATCACTGTACTAGAGGGCCTACAAAGTCAGTAGCAACTTGAGAGTTGATTAGTGTATTTTGAATACAAAATCATCCTTCAGCAACAGAGCTAGAGATATCAAGGTGTCGTAGTCCATTAACTGTGCGCTTAGCAATACAAATAGAGACCTGCTCAGTCCACTCATTAATATCAGCTCTGCACATAAAAGTGTGAACAAAATTCATTACAATATAAAGTTGTTCATAACTTAAGTCCCAGGGAGTTGTTCATAAATATGGTCTCACTAATTTGATCAGTTTTCACCCTTCATTTATGTAAAAAAAAATCCAGGCACCCACCCCCCTTAAAAACACATCAGAAAGTCTCCCTAACCCCATTATTCTTTTGAAAGTTATTTTTCCACCATTTTTATGATTAAGATGTACAAAATATATGCTACCTGATGTTATGTGACCCTCTAAATCTCCCCAAGTAGCTAAAGTGAGAACTTGTGGGCCTCTGTAAGATTTCTCATCTGCCTTTAGTTTATTAGTAAAACTCTGTGTTCTGCTATACTAGTATTGAATACATTTAAATTATTGTCTTGTTGTATTAGGTAATTTAAGCATCTTATTTTGCTTAAAACTTCTGCTATTCTCACCTGCTCAGTGCTTTATAAATGTGTGTATGATTCTATTTATTGATGATTTTTTTTTTTGGTGATAGATTTTAAAATGTAATGTCAAAACTAATTAAAATTGGTTTTATATACTATGTAGTCATTTATTTTTTTAAAAACTTTACTAATTGGTCATGAATTTAATTAATTTCTTTTAATTAGGGGTTAGGCAAGCTAATGTAATTCAATATGCCATCAGCAATCTATATGGCTAGTACTTTAAATAAAAGTTTTAATAGGTAAAAGAAAAAATATCAGTTAGACAACACTTTTTTTTTTAAAAAAAAACATTTTAATTTCAAACCAGAAGTATAATTTTAAAATTTTATTGTAAATTATAAAAGCAAATATAAAAAAAACTTCAAAAAATTAGTAAAATATAACATTCAAATATATTATTTCTGTAAAATCAATTAAAACTTGCTTTGAAATGTATCACTGATTATTGGCATTTACAAAACAATTATTTTACTTATTTGGCTATACCCAGAGATGTTTAAATAGATGTGTTCTAGATTGTATCAGTTCTAACAGTAAAGAAATAGGGAATTTTAGAAACAGATCAAAATAGATTTAATACAAATGTTTTTTAACTTTAATAAGGGAGATTTGAATGAATTTTGTAAAAAAAAATATCCCTGAGAATATTTAAGTGTTTTTAAACTGACCTCTGTTGAAAAGCTACTCTTTTAGCAAAGTCTAAAGCAAAAATTTAAATATTCCTTATACAAATACATGTATTCAAATAATTTCATTTTTTTTAAAGTATAGAAAAAGAATAATCAACCAAGAAAAATCATTTGAAATAAACCAATTAAAATTAACATTAGACTAGATGGGTGTAGTTTTAACTACCAACAAAGTTTATATCAACAGAGAGGTATAAAAAAACTTGAACAAAAAATGCTTTTATCTTCCATTGGCATCAGGAAGTCACCAATTTTATAAGTTGAACCTAACCCTTATGTATCTTATTCCTAAAAACTTCACCTCTAATAAAAGTTTACCCATATAAAGATAAAGTTTTGGGTTGACATTGATATTTTTCAAAATATGTTTCTTCTGACGAGATAAGAGGACAAAAAATTCATTTAGTGACAATCTTCAAAATCAAGATGCTTTGCATTCATTTTTTTTTTAATTTACATGCAAAAACCACTGTTTTGATATTTGCCCTAAATGGTTATCATCCCAACAGCTAGTGCTAAGTCATAGATAAACCTTAAGCTAATAAAAACTATTACAAATTAATTTGTTTTGATTGTAATAAATATTAAGCATGGTAAAACATGAAAGCACAAACTAATAATGTATGAAACAAATCTTGGCTGAGGCTTTAGAAAAAAATATAATGCTGCCTCATTACCTGCTGTAGTACACACATTTATAATCATTTTAGTACACATTTTTATGGTTCATTTTCAAACAATTATTTTTTTAAGTGGATTGTCATTATGAGACAGACACACCAGGTAAATTTAGCAAAGAAAAAATATTCCACATTCAGAGATTAAGCTTCTAATCTAAAACAAATTTCAGTAAAATATAATTGTATGCTTAATTAGACAGATTTTTTTTAGAAACACATACACACAAATTCATTTCACATATCAAGATCATGTATCTTCACAACACAATGAAATCATGAGAGAAAAAAATCACATCATATTATCACAGAATAAATCAAAGGACAAAACTGGTTTTAAGAAATGTTTGGCTCAAACACTTATTGTAACTTATAAAAAGGTGAAATAATTTTCCCTTAGGGAATTATTGGTCTCTTAATTAATAATTAATCAATAGGAAAATGTCGGACAGTTCAGGCTTTGTTATTTAGAGTAAAAACAAATGAAAATTATATTTCACATTTTTCTATAAGAAGATGTAATTAAAATGTACAGACAATTACAAATATTTGCAAAAGCTCTTTCCTAATTAAACAATTTTTTGTTATGTTATTCTTTTTTAACAAATGTAAATAAAAATTACAAGTGAAGACTGGAGATCACAATCCTTTCTTTATCTTATACTTAAAAAATTACTGTAAGTTGGGCAGTGCACGAGGTTCATCATCCAAGTGTTTATAGTGGTTTCACAGACATTGATACATTTATAATAATTATAAAAACAATACATTTGATAAAAATAAACTAAAATATAACTGACGAATATTTAATTCAGTGGAGGTTTAGAGAGGAACGCAGAATTTAAAAAAACAGCCATTCACAATTTGCCATTCTTAAATTATTTCATTCACAAAAGGGATTTATTGGTATCAAAACACGTTTTATAACTACTACAAGTCACCTGGATAGGTTTTCTAAATAATGCAGTGGGGAAGTTATGTTCCAGACACAGCTTCCAACACTGAGAGAAAAAACTACAAACAAAAATCAGCGGTTTAACAGTAGTTTCACAGGGAGAAGGAGAACTCTGCCATGGGCTGGTGACTCAAAGGTCAAAGGTTATGGCACAGGTTTATTTAAAGCTACTAAAACAATAGCCATCCATGCAGCTATTTTTACAGTCATAAACAATCCAATATGATATCTTAAATGATATCCTATGTGATGTACTAAAAATTCTATACAATCAGATATCTGAAGTTAAATGTGAGCTATGTACAAACCAAAGTCTTGAGACATTTCTCTTTATCTACTCATCTTTGTTAAAATCACCACAAGTCATAATGAATTATTATATTTCTGAAAAGTGGCGGACATTATAGTAGTTGATATTGATTATTATATCCAGCCATATATATTATACATTATTCAATCTGTTATATTATGAATCAAAATTTGGAGACAATGTTTATCTTTATCAACAATGTCAATAAAAATATTTATTATATTAATTATGATTGATACATTTGTATCTAAAATGTGAATCATATTCAGTGCTGAATACAGTTTAAAATATCTCCAAGGTTTGTTAATAGCTGCTTCTCTGCTTAAATTATCCTGGTATTAAGTGCGGATAAAACCAAGAAGTTTACAGTTAATCATTGAATGCTACGATGATCTCATCCCCATCCGTCATGTTGTAGGAAAAGATTTTACGGTCCATAAAGCGCAGCTTGTCCGCACCCATGTTGACCTGTTTATCCAGGTAGTACAGCTGAAATTTGGTGGGTGGGCGACCTGCGATGTTGCTCAGGATTTTCTTTAAATCACGGACTGTTTGAGTGACGTCAACATTCAAGTCTTCCATTTTTAGCAGTTCTTGGTTGACGTCCTCGACGCGGATCTAAGAAGAAAAGTTTCAATGATGAAATAAATTCTTCAACATCCTCAACATAGATCTGAGAAGGAAAGTTTCAATGATGAAATAAATTCTTCAACATCCTCAACATGTATCTGAGAAGGAAAATTTCAATGATGAAATAAATTCTTTAACATCCTCAACATAGATCTGAGAAGAAAAGTTTCAATGATGAAATAAATTCTTCAACATCCTCAACATAGATCTGAGAAGAAAAGTTTCAATGATGAAATAAATTCTTTAACACGGATCTAAGAAGAAAAGTTTCAATGATGAAATAAATTCTTCAACATCCTCAACACTGATTTGACAAGAAATGTTTTAAGTACCAAATTAAATCATCTAAAAGGCCTTAAATTTTAAAATTTAGGTTAAGATCCTAAACAAGGATCTGGCAAGAAAAGTTTCAGTGAAGAAATAAATCATTTGAAAGGTATTAATTTTTTTTAAATAAGCTAAGTTTATTTATTATGTTTTTGAAATTGTGAAGTAATACAAACTTAGAATAAAACTCTATTTAATTTATTTTATTACTTTTCTAATAGTAAGTTAAGTAATATTTTTAACAAAACATAAAAAAGGAAGTTTGTAAAATGTTATTTTGGACTTACATCTCTATGTAGAAGAGTTTAAGCTCATTAGTTTTGGGACCAATTTAAAATCAATATGTGAAAAATACAAAGCCTAGCTGCATATCCCTAACTCAGATCAAACACAAATACAGCTAGGTAGACACAAAATGAAAACTGAACTGAGACTTGTGTTACAAATCACACCCTACCACACAATGCTACCATTAAGAGTGAGGCTACCATTACGAGTGAGCCTACCATGAAGAGTGAGGCTACCATCAAGAGTGAGACTACCATTACGAGTGAGGCTACCATGAAGAGTGAGGCTACCATGACGAGTGAGGCTACCATGAAGAGTGAGCCTACCATGAAGAGTGAGGCTACCATGAAGAGTGAGGCTACCATGAAGAGTGAGACTACCATGAAGAGTGAGGCTACCATGAAGAGTGTGGCCACCATTACGAGTGAGGCTACCATGAAGAGTGAGGCTACCATGAAGAGTGAGGCTACCATGAAGAGTGAGACTACCATGAAGAGTGAGGCTACCATGAAGAGTGTGGCCACCATTACGAGTGAGGCTACCATGAAGAGTGAGGCTACCATTACGAGTGAGGCTACCATTACGAGTGAGGCTACCATTACGAGTGAGGCTACCATGAAGAGTGAGACTACCATGAAGAGTGAGACTACCATGAAGAGTGAGGCTACCATGAAGAGTGAGGCTACCATGAAGAGTGAGGCTACCATGAAGAGTGAGGCTACCATGAAGAGTGAGGCTACCATGAAGAGTGAGCCATTAATGAAACAACTTTAACAGAGGGGGCAAACAGCATGAGCTTTACCTTCAACATGACAAACAACTGGGGCTTGAGTATCACCTTGGCTAGAGGATCCACCTTACCGTGTTGCTGGACCAGTTCATGGTATCTGAAAGATGAAGTAGAAAACTTTACTTGGCCTATCAACAACAATTCAATACTCCTCAAAACTTTTAGGGGAAGGCGTGGTCGAGTGCTAGAGCGCTTGACTGCTACCACGTAAGTCTAGGGTTCAGATCTCTGTCCAGACTAATGTCAGCAGAACATTCCTGTGTCCATCCAGCTCCGATGGATACCTGACACCCATAAGAGAAAACAAGGTGGTTGAGCATACTGCTCATCATACCATCCCTTAATATCTGCTCATCATACCATCCCTTAATATGCCAAGGTTAAGGAACATAATTATGAACTCTACTTCATCTGCCCTATGGATCATTTACAGTTTCTATTGATATGGATATTAAACAAAAGTCCTTAACAACTTTTGACAAAGACAAATAAAATGTTTTATGTTCTGCTTTAAATAGCTCTAGTTTTAATAATACCTGAATCAAACAATAGTTTTCTAACAAAACAATTACAAAACTAAAACAGTCTGCATAGTTTTCTAACAAAACAATTACAAAACTAAAACAGTTTGCATAGTTTTTTTAACAAAACAATACTAAAACAGTTTGCATAGTTTTCTAACAAAAAAAAAATCTAAACCTAAAACAGTTTTTAGGATTTCAACGCCATACAAACCTTTGACTTTTTCCTTCCTTATCCAAGTATAACCTAATGTAAGCCCTCTCAGCATCTTCCCGTTCACTTTCTCCTATACGACTCCCATTTAGATTTGTGATGTTTGGTAGCAGTGCTATAGTGTGTTGTCTTCTGAAAACTTCTGAAAATTCCTGAATTAGGGAGAGAAAGGGAGGTAAATCTGGTGCAATAATTAACATTAAAGTCTGTATATTTTAAATACATGCAATAAATACACCAAGTCATTAAGTTTTGTGTACAATTGCAAACTATTGTTTAGAATTTAGTGTATTTTTAAGTCAGAGAAAAGAAAATGTAAATTATTATTAAAGTAGTTTACATTAGTCTCCCTTTACATTGTCACAATGTAAGAGATATATTTAGAAATTATAAAAATTTAGCTGTTTTAGTGCACCAGCACATAAGCACATAAACAGGAAGGCAGAACTGATAGATTGACAGCCAATAAATTATTTAAACACAGATCTGTACCTTAGTAAATGATCTAATGAACAGTTACAAAATGTCTTGTAAATACCTCTGCGCATAGCTACAAAAATTGAACAAATATTTGCTAAACAATTTATCGTTAACAAAACAATCCAGGTACACACCTCTAAAAATGGTATCCCGTTGAGACGGATGTCTGTAAGAGAAGGCAACAGCCTCAACAGCTCAATCTCCTCCCACGACGCCAACAAAGTCCTGTTGAGACCCAGAGTCTGCAGACAGGGGAAACAATCTGCCAGGATCTCGTGATCATCGATGGTTTTGATATCAGTCTCTGAGATAAGCAGAAAGACCAGGTTGGGGAAGAACAGCCCCAGCTTGTTGATCTCCCTCCAGCTGGTGATTCTGTTTCCGATGAAGAAGAGCTTGCGCAGCGAGGGGTAGCTGGTGCAAGCGGAGACTGAAGATGTTAAGGTTGTGGATGGCGACATGGGGGTGGGTGGCTGTGAGGCTGGCGATGGTGGTGGGGCCACTTGCGGTACCCGTTTTAATACTGATGGAATGTCTACAGACTCAAAGCCATTTAGACTTAGATGTAGTTCCTCCAAACTGTTAACATACAAGGCATCATTCTTTTAACATGGAACTCATAGTTTTAAAGCTAGATACAGTTCAACCATTTAACTAAATTTTATATTAATTTAATATAAAAAAATATGGTGAAATGTTGACTTTACTTTTAATATTTACTGCTAGAGAGCCAAATCTACACTAGCTTTAAAATTTTAGATTCTTATCAATATAAACAGCAAATTTTGTGTTTTGAATTGCTATTTATAAAAGAGAATTGGCTGTAATTTTATAACACTGTTACAGTTGTAACATTGTAATTGTTCTACAAATGGCATTACCTAGGAAAAGAACACTTAATTCCACATTACCTTGGAAAAATCTCTAGAAGTTTTAGAAGAACATCCCATTGGATGAGAGTGTTGTTAAGGACCAGGTGCGTCAGCTTTGGTATAAACCTGCCCGTCAGGTCAGGTAGCTCGGACTTGATCAGGTTTTTGGTCAGGTTTAAGAAGGTCAGGTGGGGAATGCATTCAAGGATGGCAAAAACCTGGGGTAGAAAGTCAACACTTGTTAAATCAGCCAAGTGAAAATGATATAAAACTATTGTCTTTCATTAGGATTTTGATAATATAACAAAGCAGAACAGCAAAACAGTAAAATGTTTTAAATTATCTTTAAAGGAAAATAGCAATCTTATTTAAGGACACTTGAGGATAATAAGTGTAATATTAGACAACTATAAATGATTGTCAGTTTGGATTTTCCCTTAGCTTTTGAACAATAAATACACATATTATAAAACAAAACAAAAAACATCTGAAAAGACCTATGTCTTTGGAGCAGCAATTTTTAAAGGTAGAATATCTAGTATACTTGCCTCTACCCAGTAAGCTTTGAATTAAGTATACACTTGCCTCTACCCAGTTAGCTCTGAATAAAGTATACTTGCCTCTACCCAGTTAGCTCTGAATAAAGTATACACTTGCCTCTACCCAGTTAGCTCTGAGTAAAGTATACTTGCCTCTACCCAGTTAGCTCTGAATAAAGTATACTTGCCTCTACCCAGTAAGCTTTGAATTAAGTATACACTTGCCTCTACCCAGTTAGCTCTGAATTAAGTATACACTTGTCTCTACCCAGTTAGCTCTGAATTAAGTATACTTGCCTTTACCCAGTTAGTAAAGTATACTTGCCTCTACCCAGTTAGTAAAGTATACTTGCCTCTACCCAGTTAGTAAAGTATACTTGCCTCTGCCCAATCGGTGATATTGTTCTCCATCAAATCCAGCTCTTTAACTTTCTGGCACATTTTCTGGATTAGTGTTGGATCTCCTGCCACGGATATTTCACATCCACTCATGCTGACCTGTTTAGGCAACACAATATTCCCGGATGCTGGATAAAAAATGTTTCACCTTAAACAGGGTTCACTGTGGGTAGCTAGATTATGTACTGAATACCCCAAATAAAATTATTTTTGCAACCCAAACTTTTCTTTATAGTTATAGTAATATAAATAGTGGTGCTTAATATAAGTGAAAGAAAATTGATTCATTTTGTTTGCGTATATAAAAGCTTGTTATTTTTTTTTAATAAAACGACTACAAATTTATTAAACATCTTATTATTTCAAAGTTTATGTCACATTGCATTGTCATTAAGTCTTGACCAACTAAAAATAAATTCTGTAAAAGTGGGTGAAATTACTTTAGCAAGTTTCACCTGTGATAAAGCATTAGTCACTATGACAAAAGTATTTAGCACAAGGAATCAGGTTGAATAAAACCTTGTATAAACTTGCTGTGATAACCAATATTTGTTTTGATTCAAAATCTTCATAATGAGAGCAAATTTACATTTCCCAAGAAGTGTTGTAAGTGCTATTGATTAAATTTGTGTACAGTAATTCCTCAAATATTGGGGGGCTTTTAACCCTCAGACCACCACCACCCCGGTCACCCAGCTATATGCTGAATATTTTAAGATAGAATGTATACATTATTTTTAATTTAATAAACCCATCCCTCACTATCATAAATCTCAGAAACCTGTCAGTTTCACAGTAAAGTTTTACAATGTTAGAGACTGAACAAAACTAAAACTGTATAAATATACCACCTGTCAGTTTCGTGGGAAAGTTTTTAAAATGTTAGAGAGTGAACAAAATAAATAGACACCTGTCAGTATCACGGGGAAGTTTTTAAAATGTTAGACAGAGACTGAAGAAAATAAAAAGACCACCTGTCAGTTTCACAGGCCCAGATTTTGGCACGAGGACGTAGCTTCCAATGACATCCGCTACAGGTGTGGTATCGTCATTGTACTTCTCATGCACTGCCTTGACGAAGCTTTTCAGCATGGCTTCGTCTTCTGTGGGCTCTGGTGTGATGCATGGACAGTCTCCGCTGGACACGGTTGACCGCAGGTCAGAATTCTTCACAGGGCACTCTGCTCTTTCAGAAACAGCGACTGACACTGTGCCTAAGTGATCTGAACATACAAAAATATATAATTGCTGACAAAATGACAGCGACTGACATTGTGCCTAAGTGATCTGAACAAGCGCCAATATATAATCGCTGACAAAATGACAGCGACTGACGCTGTGCCTATGTGATCAGAACAAGCAATAATATATAATTGCTGACAAAATGACAGCGACTGACGCTGTGCCTATGTGATCAGAACAAGCAATAATATATAATTGCTGACAAAATGACAGCGACTGACGCTGTGCCTATGTGATCTGAACAAGCAATAATATATAATTGCTGACAAAATGACAGCGACTGACGCTGTGCCTATGTGATCTGAACAAGCAATAATATATAATTGCTGACAAAATAATCATGCCTTTGGCTGTAATGCCCAATAAGTTTAAGCGTGACAATCTACTGAAAAAGATTGAAGCCTGATATGTAGATATAATGTGGGTCAGTGTGAAAGTCTTTTGTTTCGATCCAAGACTCTGATGGGTACCTGACTCAAGTAAAGGTGGTCAGGCATAGTACTGACCACACTTTCCCTACATATGATAAGGTAACAGAAGTAGGTGAACTACTTAAACTGCTGCATGGATCGCCAGGTCTAAAAATGTAGATATAATGATACCTTGTCTAAAGCACTGTTGTTAAAGGTTAATAAATTATACTTTGTGCATCCCTGTAATAATGTAGATTTGGATATGTAGGGTTGATGATAAACTAATGGTATATCAGGGCATAGAGAGTTAAATCATTAAAGAAGTTTTATGTTTTGTGTGTACCTGAGACTGAATCCTCTACATCCAGAAGATCTGGTTCAGAGTTATCTACCTTCCCTTCAGATCTGTGAAGTGGCAGATTAGCAGATAATTGTTCTGTTTTAGGGGTGACTTCAGAGTGGCTTCCTCCGCTTTCCTCCATCATAAATGACAAAATATGTTGATGTTTCTTTTTTTAAATGAAATATCGTGCCTGAAATTATAATATCAACATGATAAAAATGGCAGAAAGAATAACATTTAATTTTTTTTTTAAAAACAGTTAATTTAAACTCATTGTACTGTAACTATGGGCAAAGACTTAAATTTTAATGTAACAGCTTTTATCAATTTAGAAAAAAACCCATAAACTATGATTTTTCAATACATTTTTAGAGTATCTTTAATTCACTTTGGAGATAACGGATTTTGACATTTATTGTTAATATCAGTGCTAAGAATGTTGAGAAACCACAAATGAGATTGAGATGAAACTATAGGCTTTCCAGAGCAAGTGCTAACAACAAATTTTCATAAAGTTCTGGCCAAACATTATGTTAAATGAGGAGTTTAAAAGAACAATAATTCAACCCTAAACAGTAGTTAAAAGAAGTAGAAGGTGGAGATGGTTGGTCAATGTGCTAAGAGAGCAGACACATTTGCTAGGACTACTCTCAGATGGATATCATAGGGCAAGAGAAAACGAGGACTGCCAAAAGAAACAGGGAGAAGATCAATAAAGAAAGAGCTTGAAAGATGATGCTAAGGGCCAAGATTACAGATTAGTGTGAAGGCCATGGTTAGTTTGCTGTCATAGTTACAGGTTATGGTAACTAACTACAATAGTTTTTATTTCAATGATTTTTACTTTAGAGGAAGTTTTGTAATTAAAAAAATAACATGAATTTTTGACAGTTATTGTTATTTGACACCTCCCTATTTTATCTTATACTCCCAATCATCCTCACTTTAATACAAGATTAAAAAGTCAATAATTATAGTCTAGCAGTAATTATGTGAGGGGGATATATGTTGGTTGGAAAATCAAATTGATAGTTCGAGGGGGAGGGGTGCAAATCAAAAGTTCGAAGGGGGGTGGAAATTGAAAGTTTGAGGGGAGGGTGCAAATCAAAAGTTTGTCCCGGGCGCCGGGAAGGGTCGCTGCGCCTCTGCAATGATCTACCATTTTTTAAGCTAAAAAATATTAAAAGAAACATGTTGCAGGGCACACAATCTAGTCAATTTGCATGAATAAATCTATGGCATTCTATGGGCACTACATCTAGATCTAGGTAGTAGCATAAGTACTATCAAGTCTCCATTACAAACTAACAAGACATTGACAATATAGCTTGACATAGGGCCTTTATACTACACATATCATCATCATGACATATAATCATTGGCAGAGGGAAGGGGAGCAGGGGAGGGCGAAACACTAGATTTCTGCATTGGATTGGATGTCACCCGACCAAGTGACACCACTAACCATAAAAAAATACATCATGCTTTCTCAACTAGATCTACTAATTTTACTAATAGATCTAGAATCTAGATCTAGATCTAGAATCTAGTAGTAATAGATTATACTGACAGATTCTAGTTAGTAAAATACTAAAAATAGACCTGCAAAAGTTATGATTTGAAGTTTCAAGTTTCAAGACTTTTGCAGCAATTCAACAAGGGACAGCAGATAAAAATAATGTAATGAGAAATGATTTTGAAAAATCTAAGGAAATGCGGAAAATATAATCTAGTGCATCAAAGTCTTTTCGCTCGGTACATTTTCAGACGCACTAGATTCTAGATGTAGAATAGATCTAGAATCTAGATAAATCTACTTCCAAATCTAAGATCTAACTATAAACTATGACAAATGTTTACATCGGAAGTGTGAACCTGTCATCATTAGTTGAGTTTAGAAAATGCTTACGGTGTAATAAATATAAAGACCGGCATTTTTAAATTTAGGTCTGGCCTGGCTTAGACACTAGATCTACTTGTATATATTATAGTTTAGGTTATAGATTTATCACACTTGCTTAGTACAGTAAAAGGGCCTAGATCTAGATTAAGATCTAGATTGACTATAGATCTTTTATTATTGGCTAACCTTACTTTCAACTTATTTTCTGTCTGGTCTAATAATATGCTTAATATAGAATCTAGTACTAAGACTTGGAAAAATCGCTATTGGCATGCCTTATTAGGGCCAGAGTTTCAACCGCCCCCCCCCCCCCGTATGTAATGGAATTTATATAGAAAACATATACTTTAACCAGTGTCCGCCCCCCCCCCGGAAATGTTGACCGCCCCCTCCCCCGAAAATATCAAGTTCCCCCCCCCCCCCCCCCCCCGGAGAAAAACGTCTGGAAGAAACGCTGCTTAGGGCGGCATATGCCGTATGATAAGCCTTAATTCGATATTTCATTTATTAATTTGGGTCCAGCCCTAAAAATATCTTCATGATTATAATTACGGTCTTTCGAAAATGTTTTTGCTGAGCTCTTCGTTTAGGTTAGGCGTAATAATAATATGATATTTAGATCAATCTCGATCTACTTTACTACTTAGGGGTCGTCAATAAATGACGTCACGCTTTTTGGACAATTTTACCTCTCCCCCACGATCCCCTCCGTCACACATCGTCACAAAAGACCAGACCCCCCCCCTAAAATGACGTCACATCCAGCGGCGTAGCGAGGGGGGGCGGGGGTGCGAACCGCACCGGGTGACACCATTTGGGGGGGGGGGTGACACCAAGGCAAAAAATATCAAAATATATAGAGAAAAACTTGAGGGGGATGCAAATCGAAAGTTTGAGGGGGTGCAAATCGAAAATTTGAAAGTTTGTCCCCGGGAAGGGTCGCTACGCCTCTGGGGGGTGACACCATTAAGTGCCGCACCGGACCTCGCTACGCCACTGGTCACGCCTCAACCTACAACCCCCCCCCCCCCCCCCCCGCCCCTAAAATTTGCAGTTGAATGTTTCTTGAAACGTAGATATTTTTCCAAAATCTTGTTTTTTTTTATAATGCAAAAGTGTGACGTCACACCATCTGAAGTCCCCCCCCTTCCCCCTCGTCACACACCGTCACAAAATTACGGACCCCCTCCCCCTTCGAGTGTGACGTCATTTATGGACGACCCCTTAAGCCAAATAAAATGGGATTAAAAAGTTACTAGGCCTGTGTTTTTTTTTTTTTTTGTTTTTTTTTTTTTGTTTTTTTTTTAAAGACCAATGTGGAAAAAGAAGGCCTCCGTACCTACTGTTGGTACCGTTATTGAATAAATAAATTTGAGCAACTAACAATAGGCATGAGGAATCGCCTATTTTAAATGCCCCCCCCCCCCCACCCCACCCCCTCTCCCCCTAAACAGTCAGAGGTAAAGGACGGGGGGTTAACTAAACACGGATGTATTGTTTTAATGTGTGCCAGGAATTCGGTCGGCTAAGATATTCGCGATGCTAATTAAAATAAATGAACTATGTAAACATGTGTAGACCCTATTAAATTAGTGGTGGCCTATCCAAAGCCATACATTTTTTTTAAAGTCGCGGGGGCAGTTTTAGGCTACATCGACTAAGATTTTTGTGAAAGCTCATGGAAATTTATTTTTAGGCTGTTACATGCCTACTCGTTTACTTTACACACACACACACACACACACACAAGAAATAAACAATATAATCTACTCGCATACTAGTCATAGGTAAATAAAAAAAAGAAGAAAAAAAAACAAGTATCACCTTCCTAATCTATCTTCAGGGAAGGGGTGGGGGCGTTCTCGAAAGTTTCAAACCCTTCTTTCCCCCCCCCCCCCCCCCCGAGGAAAAATATCTAAAAGAAACACTGCCTAACCAGCGTTGATTGCACATGTAGATCGTCAAAGTTATTAAATATATGTGTAAATAGTAATTCATCTGGTTATGCCCGTAATAGAATTCTAGACCTCGATAATCTATATATATAATTCTCTTCTTGGAGACGATGGAAAACAAGCTGTAAGCGCGCTCCCTACCACCCCCACCCCTACATGGTCTGGTGAGCTGTGGTTCACGCTAAATGTTTACAAGCAGAGCCGGGTTTATTGACGACTATTAGGGGCAGATAATTTAGTTTGAAACTATTTTAAACGTAGGGGGGGGGGTAACTAGGTGGAGTTGACTTTAACGGAGGGGGGAGGGGGGGGTTATCGTCCTTAACGAGCTACTTATAGTGTTTTAAAGAAATATTTTCAGTGGCAGCGTTGGTACTGTCGAATTCACAAATTATGAATTACTGAAAAGTAGAAAATAAAACAACTAAATAGCGGCGTACGATATGCCGCGGGTCGGCTCGTCTTATTTATTTAGGTTAGGAAAGAATGTTTGATGAGCAGTCGCGATTCCCCGGCTGTTCTTTAAAAATGATTCCTTTTTTTTTCTTTAGCCTATTAGGCCTGCAGCTTAATAGGTTAATATGAACGTTTGTTATGTATGCAAAACCGTTGATCGTTCTCTTTAATGTTTCATGATTATTGATTAGTGACTAGGCTAACAAAAGGAGTACGAAATCTCATATTCAAATTATATTACCATAGTAACTATCACGTGACAATGCAGCATCCAACATGGCGCACTCTATTGTATGGATGTGCTACCATAACCATTACCACTACTAGATCTAGTACCTTTGTTTTATTTGTTGAGGAAGTTTCGCAAAATGAGCAATAAACGCATTGAGCTATTTATATTATTTTCTTTAAGTTTGTGCCATTTGACTGAGACGAAATGGGTTCAAGGAATCCTTCAAGCGCTTTCGGTAAAAATATTTTTTTTTTATCAGTCTCAGTGTGGTAAAACTCCATTTTAGCGTATTTTATTCTCCGTTTCACGTTCACCTCCAGTTGAGCGTATTTTGTTATACACAACCAAAAACACACAAAAACTTTAGAAAAACATTGGGCTTATTTCTTTATGAAGATTTGACTTAGTTTTGATAATTTACTTTTGTCAAAACTTGAGAGAAATCCAAATTTGGAATATTGAATGCTATAACACTATAACTATAAATTAACTTTTATGAACTCACGATGACCCCAAAACTGAGGTCAGCACCATTTCAAATAGCTATTGCCCAAGCTATGATTGTCTGCTGATAATTAAAGTCAATGTGAACTATGGTGAATCCTTGACGGTGTAGGGATTTTTCTCCTCCTGACAATCACATGCTATTTAATTAGAACTGTCCTAATGCTTTTTTATGTTGTTTTTTTATTTACCTTTTATAATTAAAACTCACATTCATATAAAACATAAATAGATCTAGACATCTAGATTCTAGCTATAATCCTAGTGTTTTCCTAACATTTTTGTGTGTATTGGTTGTGTTTATAATAAAATACGCTCAACTGGAAGTGAACGTGAAGCGACGAATATAATACGCTAAAATGGAGTTTTACCCTAAGTGGTTCTTAACCCGCCACCTGGATTCGATCAAACCCCAGGGGCTCAGTGAGTCAGTCTCAGGGGTTCATTGGAGGATAGGCTAAATATTAAATAATTTCCGATCGAATTTTGTTAATTTGTATGATACAACTATTAAGAAGGGTTCTCATATGTGAATGGGCATATGATTATGAAACTGGTTGGTTTTACTACCCCTAAAAAGGATAGGAACCACTGATTTAGACATAATAATAAGATCTATCTAATCTAGATCTGTTCATTTATATCTATTTAAAATTTATTCTCTTTTTCACAGGACTGGGAGTTTTTGACAAGATTTTGTTTTCTTACAGAGAAAGGGACCTTGTATTATGAATTTAAGTACCCAGTGGTAGGTCTATGATTCATATATTTTTTAAACTGACTTTTATCTGCCGGGACACTAAAAATATGTTTAGAAATCACCAGATTAGGTCTATATTTATGACAAGATTAATGATAGGCCTAAATATTATTAGAAATTTAGGCCACACATTCACTTAGTCATCCATAAATGACATCACACTTTTTTTGACAATTTTTACCTCCCCCCTCCCCTCCGTCCCCACAAAAGCCAGACGCCCCCCTAAAATGACATCACACCTCAGCCTACAACCCCCCCCCTCAAAATTTCAATAGTATTTTCTTAAAATACGAGCAAATCGTATTTTCTTAAAATATGATATTTTTCCAAAATTTTGTCTGAACTCTGTCAACATAGAGTATTTTAATCAATTCCTATTGCAATTTATTAAAACAGTTTTCTATAACGCGAAATAATGGCTACAATTCATTTTCTAACATTGCTTTTATAATGCAAAAGTGTAACGACACGATCTTAACCCCTCACACCCTCCCCCCCCCCCCCCCGCCCCATCACACACCATCACAAAATTACGGACCACCTCCTCCCCCTACGAGTGTGACATCATTTATGGACGACCCCTTACAGTCCATGTATGTGTCCTACATTTATTTTGTTTTATATTGAAATTGTTCATGAGGAGTAGGCCTACACATTCATCATAACTTGTTTTGAAAATGATTTTCATGAGAAGCTGACCAGTTCATTCATAATGAATTAATCTGCAAAAAAAGTCATATGTTGATTTATCCATGATAATTTAATTTCAGGACTTTGGGCCCCAAAATTTACTCCTTTATTATGACACACCAGGGCAGTGGGATGCAGTCTATAAAAGAGGGAAGGTATGGCATTAACATCTAACTCTCTTAATGTATGAATTAATGAAAATTACAGAAAGTCTCCAATTTTTGTTCACATTTCCAAAACACTAAAAAATGAAAAACAAAGTGAACAAAAACCTTAAGCATTTTAAATAAGTTCAAAGTTGAAGGTCGTAAACAAAATGCCAAATAAAGAATTTTGTCTGTTTTTTTTTTATGGAAATATATTTTTGAAAGTTAAACATTGTTTAAAATGGTTAGTTTTTTTTATCTGATCACGTGTTTAATGCATGAAAAGTGAGTGTAGATAGTATTTCACATGGTATGATAATACTGTTGTAATTTTGCTAAATGTTAATCACTCCTTTGGTTATTTTACATACTGTTACTAACATTGTTTTCTTTTGTTTTGTTTTCACAAGTTTTTGGTCACACTTTTATATTACAGAACTGCACTCAAAGTGTGTCAGTTCTCAGTGTTGAGAACAATCAAATTATAGCTCTAACTAATGGCAATGATAGGACTTCTCAGTATGTATTTTATATCATGTGGTTGCATTGAATGTATGTTCTTTTTTTTATATAATAATTCTGATTTGGAAAATAAGATTATTTGAAAATGAACAATGAAGCTACTTCTGTTGATGCTTATAAAATAGTTTTAAATTCCCTTTTTATGCTAAATATTTCAAATATGTTAAATATTCTAAATCCACTTCATATGATCTAGGATTGTTAGATACACTTTTGTTCTATTTCTCCAGAATGCATTTTGTGAACCCTAGACTTTCAACCCTACTTGTAGAGTTGTATAAATTTGTCGCTTTAATCTTCTCTTCTCTAAACCTCCTCCCTGACTAACTTGTTTAGTAATTTCATATTTAGTCCCTCACTTCAGAATGACACTGATTTTATTGAGTTATTTAAATCAGGCTGTCATGGTATAATATGTTATTTAACAAGTAATTTGTTTCTGGAAAAATCAATGGATCCCTATAATATAACCTTTTTTGTTAATTAAATGAGTGATTTATAGATTTATTGATCATTTTGTTCAATGATTGATTTTCACTTAGGTATTCTGGATGCTCAGTGGTAACTCTTAATGGCAAACCCTGGTACCAGTGTAGTGGGCAGCGGAGTTTTATCTCCTCAAGGGAGCGCTGGTGGTACATGGCTGTGTCCAGGTGTTCTAAGTCTAGTCAGGTTAGCTGATTAGGCTATTCTTCGTTTACTGTGGTCAGAGTGTGAAGAATATGTAACAGATTATTATGAAAAAAGTAAAAGAAAGTTACTGTGTTTAGTTAATTTGGTTCTAGAGGGAAGGTGATGGTGAACATAAAAGTTAGTTTGCGTATTAGAAATCATCTTTTTATTTAAAAAAATAAAGTGTGAATGTAGATTCACAAAGTGGAGGGTGCAAATAGAACAGCGTGTCATCAACATAAAAAGCTACCAACTTTAATATAAAAAATCCGCTTTGTCCAGTTAACTTCACAACTTAGTATACATTTTTTGTTATATATTATCATTAAGCTTGGGGTGAGACCATTGAACTGGAGTAAACCCAAAGCCTTTACAATTTACAGTTTTAGTACATCCTACATTTGGCTGTTGGGGGTAATACCTTGAGTTACAGAACCCTTTGTAACCTTATCTAGTGAGGCCACTTATTACCAGTTCTTTAGGCAGGGTTGAGGGTAGCAATGAGTGTCAGGAAAATATAGTTGTATTTAAATGTTAAGTTCCCTTTCTAACCTGATGGTCAATGGGGCAAGTGAAGTAGAGTTTACCTGTTTCTGTGACCTCGGCATATGAAGGGATAGTGTGGTCAGCACCATGCTCAGCCGACTTTATTTTCCCTAACATAATTAAGGTATCTATCTATGCTGGGTGGACTCAGAAAAATTTACAGACTTGAACCTGGCTTTGAACTCCAGACTTTTGGGTTAACAGTCGTATGCTCTACCATTCAACCACACCATCTCATTTGTATTTAGAGGACTTCCTTTTATTAAAATTTCATAGGGCCATAATTTCCTATAAACTTTTAAAAATTTGATTCTATTATTGAGCACTTAGTCTTTGAGTTCTATAACTACCCAAAATGGCTGAAGTCTTTTACCTCTTCATCCTCAGACCGATGGCTTGTATCTTGAATATAAACTGCACATGACTAATGGATATGACCTATTACATAAGGAATACTCTGCTGATGAATTTTGTATGTTTGAAAACCTTTTTACTTTTTAAATTGTTTGTTTTGTTAAGAGGAAAAAAAGCAGTTTTTAAATCATGCATGTCTTTTGCAATAATGTAAAATTCCTTGTAATGTTATAATACTTATTTGAAAATGTAAAGTGAACTCATTAAATTTCTTTTTCTTTTCAGATATTTTGCTATACATTTAATATTCCATGTTAACCTATGAACAGAATGTTTAAAATGTAAAGTGAACTCAATTTTTTTTTCTTTTCAGATATTTTTCCTGTTGATGTTACCTTCTTTCTGATTTATGTTCTTATGTGCATTCTGTCAGTTGTCTGTGCCAGTAAGTATTATCTCCCTTGAGTAACTATCTTAACATGTGTTAAGCTTTTTAGCTTTTTATTATAGGCTTTTAATCTATACTTTTACGTCTGAAAATTGAATATTAATTCTTATTTTGAAGGACTAATTTATGGTAAATTCAGTGACATTGTTTTAGCTTTTTTTTTTTTTTTACAGTTAGCCTTCGAAACCGCCAGCTGTTTCACACAACCTACAAGCTGTACCTGGTTTCATTGTTTATATGGACCTTTCACTTGTTTTTGATGGTCATAGCCTGGGGTCACTATGGGACAACTGGCTGGGAGATTAGGCCAGTGGAGGTCACTGGTTAGTTGGTGCCTGTTTAGTTTATTATTGGATCATCCTGAAAAATTTTATTGTTTGTAGGGTGATCCTAAATTTTTATTTTATGTTAATTGCAGTATAATTGTTTTTTATGATTTTATTTATGTTTGATAATTTATAATAAAAGTCTTTTCATTACCTTCTTTACAATTAGCGTTTTTAATGTGCATTTATGTTTCATTCATAGGTATGTCTAAAATGAAGTTTTTAAAAGCATTTTTTAAAACAAATTAACAGTGGAATACGGTGTATTACTGATCCTTCAACTTTCACTAATAATTTCTTTTTAATTCAACACTAAAAAAAATATATGAAATTTAAAAATAAAAGTTAAACAACTATAGATGGATTTTTTTTACATTTTCTCTAATTGGTTGTTTGTTAAATAATAGTAAATTTTTCAATGTCTTGACTAAAATGTAAAAAATGTCACTCTGCAGGGCGCATCCTTCGATCCATCAGCATGATCATTTTCATCCTTATGTTAATCCTCATGGCTAAAGGCTACACCATCACCAGAGGCCGCCTTACCAGAACCAGCACCATCAGAATAACCGTGTTTCTCAATTTGTACATCATTATCATTGTTATCCTCTTTGTGTGGGAGGGTATGGTGAGTCATTTCTTGTTAGAATAGGTGTTGTGTGGGAGGGTATGGTGAGTCATTTCTTGTTAGAATAGGTGTTGTGTGGGAGGGTATGGTGAGTCATTTCTTGTTAGAATAGGTGTTGTGTGGGAGGGTATGGTGAGTCATTTCTTGTTAGAATAGGTGTTGTGTGGGAGGGTATGGTGAGTCATTTCTTGTTAGAATAGGTGTTGTGTACAAGTTGTATTGTGGCATTTTGTGTGTTGTTGGATTTGATGGGCATTAAGTTGGATTGTGTATAAATTGTATTGTGAATGAAGTTTATTGTTGGATTTTGCTATGAATGAAATTGGAATTGGTGTGAATAAAGTTACATAGTCAGATTTTTGTGTTTATAAAATTGTATTTAAAAATTTATTTTAATATGCACAAGATTGTATATTAAAATTACTTCTACATTAAGTTTTTAATTGTGTTCAGAGCCTTTATAATTTATATGGGAGGGTTTCGTATGTAGGCATGTATAGTTTGTATATGTGTGGGTAGTTTTAGAGTGTAAATGGACAGGTTTAGTGTGTAGGTAAATATAGTTTGTATGGGCAGGTTTAGGGGGCAGATATATATATAGTATCTCGCATGTGGATGGTACAAGTGACTCAACAGTTCTTGTTAAAGTAATCGCTGTATCCTCTAGTATATACACATTTACATCAGAAAGTCCTTCAGCAAGTTTCCCCTCTCTACAGCTATTTGATCCTGGGAAGGTGCTCTACTATTATGAAAGTCCCCCTGGCTATGGTTTAGTGACAATGCATCTGATTGGTTGGCTCTGGTTCCTGTATGCCACAGTCTTTACTCTCAAGCACACAACAAAGCGAATCAATTTTTACATTCCATTTTTTGCCTTCTATACACTGTGGTAAGTTATAAGTGAATCTATTTACTCTAAGGTGAGTTGACAAGTGAATCTATTTATACTGTGGTAAGTTGATATATGAATGCCTCGACTATTTAAACAACAAAAGTTATCAATTCGCACTTCTATTTTGTTTAAAAATGTGTACATTGTTTTTAGTTAGGGGAAATGTTTTTCAAATTGAACCTTTATATAATGTATAACAAAATGGAGAAGCTATTTTGAATCAAGGACTCTACTTTCTTAGGTTCTGGGCGGCGCCAATAATGACACTTATTGCCATGTTTTCTATGGCTAAGTGGAGCAGGGAAAAAACAGTCAATGCAGTGGAACAGTTTATTGCTTTCTGGGGACATGTATTTTTTCTTGTAAGTCTTTTTGTTTTGATTTTTAGATATTTTTTAAACCACATTTGGTGGTGAACTGACCCAGTGCCACCAATAAAATTTTTATTTAATAATGAATTTTTAAAATGTTCATTAGGTGCTGACTCGGCCTAGTGCTGCTAGTAAAAATTTTGTTTAATGATGAATTTTAAAATGTTCATTAGGTGCTGACTCGGCCGAGTGCTGCCAATAAAAATTTTCCCTATCATGTCAGAACTTCTCAAGTAAGTTTGTTTTTTCTTTTTAAAACATTTTTTTTTGCTTCCTTTGGTAAAAATATCCCATATTAGTTGCTTTTTTTTAAAAACATATTTTTTTGTGTATAACTTTTTATTTGAAAAACTTGGCCCATTTATTTTCTTTTTAAAACATCCTATTGTAAATCCTTTGTAAAATTTTATGTCTTTTTAGTACTTCCTTTTTAATACCCTGAGTTGGCTAAATGATCACAAGTGCTTTAGCTGTTTTCTTTGAATATGATCTTTAGTAATTACTTTGGATAATTCATTGTAAATAAACTGGGAGTGATCTCCCCTAAACTTTCTCGAGTATTTTAATATAACACTACGGGGGATGGCAACTTGGGATATAGACTTCTAGACATGATTTTTAATCTATTTTAAATACTCAAATTTTTTAAAATAGAATATAATCTTGTAGAAAAAAGAAATGCACACCAAGTGAACGCTAAATAAAGATGTGCATAATAGTGCGCAATATTATTAGTACTTTATAAATTTATATGCGTTTTTTGAGAACTCAGAAATAGCATAAATAAGTACTTCCGGTCAACGGAAATGACTCAAAATTTGACAGAAGGTAGAGAATTAGATCTTTTACTTACATATCAAATTTCATTTATCTATCTGAAATAGTACTCAAGTTATAGGCTTTTGAAAAATTCAAAGTAGAAAAAGTACCACTTCCGGTTATCAGAAATCGCTCAAAAATTGATACGGATCTACGATTTTGATAAAATACTTATATATGAAATTTCATCAACCTAGCTGTAACGGTACTCAAGTTATCGTGTTTACACACGGACACACACACACACACACACACACAGACAGACACACAGACATACGGACAAGATTGCAAAATTATGTTTTTCCGTATCAGTGAGATGTAAAACGTCGAGATTTGCAAAAATCTCGATTTTTTTTTTTCGCACGATTACAAGACTTTCTCTATACTTCGTATATACGAGAAAGTAAAAATTAGTTGAGTTCATTATCAAGTAACTGTCCTTGATTTAAATTGAATGTAAATTATGTAACACAGTGAGGAATGTAGTTTCTCATATATAGGCCTCAGGCCTAATAGTTTAGATTTAGAAAACATGACTTGATTCAAAGTTTGTTGAACACAATGTTATAGGCAAATATATTGCTAGATGTATATGTGCTGTATTTATAATTTTTACTTTCAATCATATAAGGACTGTAATATTGTAAAAACATAATAAATTTTAAGATTTTTTGTTAAATATGTATTACTTTAGCAGAATGTGGTTTTATTAATCTTGATGTTTAAAAAGTATTACTTTTAGGTAGACTTACAATGAGATTTTATTAATCATTACACTTACAATGAGATTTTATTAATCATTACACTTTAAAAAAGTAAAACTTGAGTAGGCCTACAGTGAATGTATTCACCACTGAAACCTATTTACAGATAGGGACACTGCCAGCTAGTGAAGATGAGAAGAAAAAGAAAAACAACCCCTATGTTGTGAGCTCAGGGTATGCCTTTTCTGAAGTGGGGACCAACTTGAATTTTTTCATCACTTCAAGAGGAGAGGGCCACGCGGAGGGAAGTAACAAACAGCCCCTAGTTCAAGTCAAGGCTGGGGATGCTCTCGTCAAGGAAGATCTGCAAGTCAGTTCTGTTTGTTCTGTCTTACATTTTGCTTATCTTTACGTTTGCTTTTTTTTTTTTTTTTTACATTTTTCTGCATCTTGTGCAAATATAATGAGTTCATATGTTCCAGTGATCTAGTCATATTAAAGGACTTTTAAATTACTTTTACTAATGTGAATCATGTAACCTTCAGAGCAGAGTGACTGTTATGAAGTCATTAGTTTGGTTGGTATAATTTGATGTCGTTGATGACTGCAGTGAGGGTTGATGTGTTAAGGCAACAGTTTAAGCCCTGATTGAGTAACACTAACACACGTACAATTTTAAGACTTTTAATACACCTGAGTAATGGAAATAAACTAGCACAGAGTTCTGCCACGGAGCACAAGACACACACTTCCACAAGATAACAAGTCTAGCATTCAACTAACTTAATTAATTCATGAGGCCCCAACTTCACCCTAAGGTAACCCAAACCCTGCCTAACCCCAGCAGTCCCGCGAGGGGCGGGCGCTTGACCTATGCATACATTAACTCGAACTTTTTACGACTGGGACAACTACAGGCTATTCAGACTTGTATCTAGTAAGGGGACGTTCAATCAAATACACTAAGGGCTATTCCTATTACAGTTTTGGGTCAGCAGTACTGCGCTCTACCATCCATCCACAAAGATCACCTGTACTACTTTCTATTTTTGCTTTTTCTAACTCAGATTTATTTCAGTTATTTTAAAAACTATTTTACAGATTCAAAAAGAAACCTTGCCTATCATCCATGGTGGAGGTAGTGATGTCGCACCGGATGTTGGGAACAACATTAACAACAACAACAGTTCTTCAACTGGTGCTGGTGCTTTGTCCTTCAGTTATAATTCAGGTGTGTCTCCAAGGGCAACAACTCTCCCACCAATCAGGGGTATTTACTTACCCCCCTTGATTCCATCTGCACCTTTAGCTGGAACTGAACCAGGAAATCCCAATATGTTTAATTTCAAGAGTTTTTTTTAAGCCTAGAAAAAGTAATTTTAAACAATTAGAAAGTGTTTTTTTTTTCATGAAATTGAACAACGGCTTTATTAAGCACAGATATGAAACGTACATTTGTAATTGATTATAATTGGTTGAACAGCTATGTGTCCACAAAATGTGATAAACTTTTTTGATGCCTTGTACTTTATCAAAGGTTTTATTCATTCTAGTCAATTCAGTTTTATTTTGCCGGTGACACTTTTAAAAAGTCAGCTTAATTTTACACACTATTTATTTACATGATACTTTGTCTACACAAATTTTTAGATATTAAACTTTACAATTGTTACCTTTTTCACATTTTTTAAAATTGTTATAAAGTTTTAAATGCATTTTATTTATAAAAAGTATCACAACTTTTGAATTATCAAATACAAATACTTTTTAAAATATTTATACTAAAGTTCAAACAAAAGCTGTGAATGTTATTAGAAATTGAATCTTTCATAACTGTTGGTCTATTTCAATTATTAAAATAATTAGCTTTAAATTGTATATAAAATTATTTGAAAATATTTTTATTCAAATCTTTAAGTAGTAAAATTTATGCGCAGATAAAAGTTGAATCTAACTTATAATTATAAGTGAAGTTTTTTCTATAACAAACTTAAATAACTCACATATTTTATGAGCATTGTTAGAACACATTTTTATGTTATGTAAAATAGTCCTTTGTAAGTTTTATTATTGTTTTTATTATATGTTAATGAATTTAAATAATAAAAAACTTTTACTTGTCAGCTTAGATATGTTTATCTTTTTTGTGTGGTCAAGTGTTCATATTTTTGTTCTCAAAGCTTTCACTTTCAAGTTAAGGCTAAGCTTTAACTTGATTGGTCTATTTGCCAATCATAATAATATGCAGTCCATTAATAAAGCTCAAGGTTCAACAATTTTATGCTCTGGTCCTTTTTATCTCCTAAGGTTTCATAACTATTTATTGTGATGCATCACATCAACTAACGGCTACATCACACTTAATTATGGTTTATTACATTTACTAAGGCTTCATCACAACTAATTATGGTCCATATATTACATCAACTATGAATTCATCATAGTTATGGTCCATTACATGGTTCTACAGCCAAATGTCTTAAATTGTTTTTTCTCAACTGTTTCTCAGTAACTGTTATAATTACCCCCTCCCCTGCTCTTGTTATACTATATTCTTTACATTTTATTAATTTCCCCTTTGCGGCATGGTGGAGAGGGGCAGTGTTAGTATTTTATAAGAAATTCACTGTTTTAAAAAAACAAAATGCACTTTTGAAGGGATTGGAGTGCAGTGTTTCGTTCAGGCTTTTCTTCGGGGAGGGTACTGTTCCCCTCTCCCCAGAGCCGGCGTTAGGGGTACGCGGGGCCTATGGCCAACCATCCGCGCGGGGCCTTATATTTTTTTCATTGGTGTATAATTAAATAAAACATGTACAGTGAGGCGTTTTTTTTTCTCAACGCGAATTAATATTTATAACGATATATATGGTATTTTTAAGCTGTTTATCAATGTCGTATTAACATTAAGACACTGATTAACAAATAAATTGTTTACTTAGAAGTGCTTTTGAAACGTTGCTTGTTTCTGTTAAGGCTTTTTGTTTGAAAAGTAAAAAATAAAACAGATATAAGTTTGATACACGCATAAAAGAGACGAAGAACGTCAGCTTCAAACCTGACTTTTTTACATTAATGTTTATTTATGAAAATCTTACCAGTACGTTCACAAACGAAGATCTACTTTTCTTGCCTTTCGTGACTGGAACTGTTAGCAAGATTCTGTAGGCGATCGCCGTATTGGGAAAGGAATCCCGAATACTCCAAATGTACTGAAGGCACTGTTTGGCTGCCTTAATGCCTTCGGGCACTTTGAAGCAACGTTAAATCGGTCCACAGTGGCGGGTGATAGTATCGATATTTTCTCAATTTATCGAGTGTTAACAGGGGCATTCAAAGTGTGTGGATGCCGGGGAAAATAGCAAAACATTGATAGATTTCGGAATAAGCTCGAATCGTGAAAAACACTGTTTACAGCTATAGATATCCAAAGGAAATGACTCTCAAATGTAATCACGGACGCTCAGTAAGGTGGAGCACTGGGGGGGGGGGGGGGGGGAAGGGGATGCCAAACCCTAAAAAAATCAGTTCGGGTACTACGTTACTGGATCTCTGACCGCAGCCATTCAAGAGAAGGTGCGTGTGTATAGAGCGTCCACGCATTACATTACAGGTTAAGACCGCGTTCTCACAAGAGAAGGTCCGTGTCTATAATTAGAAATTGAACCATGTGACAGCCAGCTTCATGTTATTTATGAGTTTCGCGATGGCATGCTCGGACTGCCGGTAATTTAGACGTTTTAGAAATCAGGAGAACTTTACCATAAAACAGTCTCGGCCCGATGTATCAAACAGTATAGACTTTATAATTTGTTTAGTGTGCCTACACTATTTTAAAACAAGAATCACTATGGCCTTAACTATTATACTGAATATCCCTACACAGAGGCGTAGCGGGGGGGGGGGGGGGGGAGGGGGGGTTGCGGATCGCACCGGGTGACACCTTTTAGAGGGGTGACACCAAGGCAAAAAATAGCAAAATATATAGAGAAAAACTTGAGGGGGTGCAAATCGAAAGTTTGAGGTGTGGGGGGGGGTGCAAATCGAAAACTTGAGGGGGTGCAAATCAAAAGTTTGAGGAGGGGGGGTGCATATAGAAAATTTGAATTTTTTTTCCCGGGAAGGGTCGCTACGCCTGAGGAAGGGGGGGGGGGGTGACACCATTAAGTGCCGCACCGGGTGACACCCGACCTCGCTACGCCACTGTCCCTACAATTAATTAAAATAAACATGTGCTTAATCACTTTACGAATACCGTTAAAGTTTACCAAAATGAAAATGGACATAATTACTGTATAAATGCCCTTCAAAAATATAAAAATAAATACAAGTATAATGTATTTAAAGATGACCTGGCAATATATAAAATAAATATGAACATAATTACTGTATGGATGCCTATCAAACGTATCGTGGTGAATATGCATAAAAGATGTTACACAAAAGATGCCCATACAGTGTATAAATTATGATTTTAGGGATAAATACTCTGGATTTCTGGGGCATGTCCCCATCCGCTCCCCCCCCCCCCCTCCTCCTCTGCAAGCCATCATCAGGTCGCTGACTGTTTACTACAGGCACCCCCGCCTGCTCACTAAAAAAAAACGTCTTCAACGGTCCGCAAACAATAGGGTATCTTTTTACGTTTTTCCCGATGTCAGGTCGGGGGCTAATTCGCGACCGCCATCTCCAGTCACCTCAGGACAATAGCGAGTCGACCGTGCCAGCGATGTGTGACACAAATGTCTTCGTATCGAATAACGGTCTGTACCAGTCCATGTAGAGGATAACTCACTAACATCAGCCGTGGCCTCAGTTTTAACATCCAACAATTTCGGCCATTTAGTTGGGTTTTTTTTTTTTAAATTTAATTCAGCAAAGATTATTTAAGTTTACAAACTAATTCAGGCAACAATGGCGTTGCTGAAGCGCGGGGCCCCTTCAAGCGCGGGGCCTAGGGCGACCGCCCCGTTTGCCACCCCCTAACGCCGGCTCTGCCTCTCCCTACACCCCCACTCTCCCATCCCCCAAATCACGTGTACCGCCCCGCAGATAAAAATAGAATTAATCTAGAAAATATATATTTTTACCCGTGTTCGCCCCCCGACCACCACCTCTCCCGGAAAATTTAGTCCGCCTCCCCGAAAGAAGTTTCAAGTCCCTCCCCCCCCCCCTCCCCGGATATAAATGTCCGAAAGAAACACCGATGGAGCGGTCGACTGTGTGACATCATTTTCTAGAGGTTTGGCTTTTTTATGCTGAGGTAAGGTAAAAAGCGTTTTACAAGAAGTGAGGCCGTTTGCGAACGACCCGTACCCTAAGTAGCCACTAGCGCTGGTTGCTTTTGTCAGTCGTGGGCCGTGGGAGGGGATGAAACAAAGACCAATGTATAAATTTCAGTTTATTTCAGTAAATTTCTTTTAAATGTCTTAATCCTGCATTCTGGTTTGTGGGGGGGAAGGGGGAAATCCATAAATGAGGTCACGCTTATTTGACGAACTTTATCTCCCCCTCCCTCTCCTCCACAAAGCATTTCGATAAGACTTTAGAGGAAATGGATGGAGTGGGGTGGGAGTGTAAGTTGGTGGAGTGGGGTGGGAGTGTAAGTTGGTGGAGTGGGGTGGGAGTGTAAGTTGGTGGAGTGGGGTGGGAGTGTAAGTTGGTGGAGTGGGGTGGGAGTGTAAGTTGGTGGAGTGGGGTGGGAGTGTAAGTTGGTGGAGTGGGGTGGGAGTGTAAGTTGGTGGAGTGGGGTGGGAGTGTAAGTTGGTGGAGTGGGGCGGGAGTGTAAGTTGGTGGAGTGGGGTGGGAGTGTAAGTTGGTGGAGTGGGGTGGGAGTGTAAGTTGGTGGAGTGGGGTGGGAGTGTAAGTTGGTGGAGTGGGGCGGGAGTGTAAGTTGGTGGAGTGGGGTGGGAGTGTAAGTTGGTGGAGTGGGGTGGGAGTGTAAGTTGGTGGAGTGAGGTGGGAGTGTAAGTTGGTGGAGTGGGGTGGGAGTGTAAGTTGGTGGAGTGAGGTGGGAGTGTAAGTTGGTGGAGTGGGGTGGGAGTGTAAGTTGGTGGAGTGGGGTGGGAGTGTAAGTTGATGGAGTGGGGTGGGAGTGTAAGTTGGTGGAATGGGGTGGGAGTGTAAGTTGGTTACCATCCAATGCCTGTACGGAGTGGAAGTCCGTACAATGGCAGGCTGAACTCAAGACCGGTACGGTAACCGGAGACTTCCTGGTGGGCCGATCAGCCGTGTGACACTCCCGGCAAGACACAACTACGGCGATTACGTTTCGTATCAAACTTTCTTGCATACATCTTTCCCGGTGGCGGAGGTGAGGGGGGGGGACAGTGTTTCTTCCAGACTTTTTTCTCTGGGGGGGGGGGGCACTTGAAATTTTCGGGGGGGGGGGGTAGACTTTATTTGAGGGGGGGGGGGGCGGACATTGTTAAAAGTATATATTTTCTATATAAATTTCATTTCGCTGGGGGGGGGGGGGAGACACTTTTTTCGGGAGGATGCCCGGAAGAAACTCTGGGGGGGGGGGGGGGAAACGGGACTTCCCCGGCGTATGTCCAACCTCTCCCCACCCCCGTCGCATACACCAGCAGACGAAATCGAAAAAAAAATTATGTAGAAAGTAACAATTTTACCATTGAACCCCCCCCCCCCACACACACACAAGTTTAAAGTGCACCCCTCCCTAACCTAAAAAATGTTTAACAAAAACTCTATTTCTTAAAGGGGTATACGGTTGTACATAAATGACGTCCTCTCTATGGGAGGAGGTTGGGGGTTGGGAGGTGTCAGACTTTAGTGACGATGTGTGAGGAGGGGGTGGGGTTAAGATTCTGTTATGTCTCACTGTTTTTTTTTTTACTTTCTCGTATACGAAGTATAGAGGAAGTATTGTAATCGTGCAAAAAAATTGACGTTTTACACCTCCCTGAGTCGGAAAAACATAGTTTTGCAATTTTTTTTCCATATGTCTGTGTGTGTATGTATGACTGCATGTCTGTGAACATGATAACTTGAGTACCGATACAGCTAGGTTGGTGAAATTTCAAATATAATTATTATATCACAATTTTATGTTCTTTTCAGCGATTTCCGGTCACCGGAAGTGGAACTTATTCTACTTTTTGTTAACTATAACTTGAGTGCTGTTTCAGGTAGATAAACGAAATTTCACATACAAGTAAAAAATCTAATTCTCTGCCTTCTTTGATATTTTGAGTAGTTTTCGTTGGCCGGAAGTAGTAATTTACGCTGTTTCCGATTTCTCAAAAAACGAATATGAATTTATAAAGTACTAATATTCCGCACTGTTATACACATATTGTTTGTCGTTCACTTGGAGCGGAATTCTCTTTTCTACGAGATTCTATTATATTTTTTAAAAGTTTAATTAATTAAAAACTGATTAAAACTCATGTCTATATCCCAAGTAAATTTTAGAGGAGATCACTCGCGCTTTTTTTTTTTTACGATTGAACGTTTCGGAGAAAGGGAGGATACAAATCGGCTTATAAAAGTATGATGAGATTATTGTAGGGCTACCCCTATGACAAGATAGCGAAGAAGTGCACAGTGGGGGAGTGTTTTTTGTTTTTGTGTGTACATGTTGAGCTAAGGCCCAGAAGTTATTTTCATGTATTTTCAACAGAGGTTTCTGCCATAAAAAAGTGGGGGTCAGTTGATTGGGCGTCCCACACATTTGGTAAGTAAGGTGTACTACTTCCATGAACGGTTTAAAACTGCATAAGGGACATCCTCCGGTGCCCTGGCAGTCCTATGACCCGTAGCGCCCGGTCTCCTCTATAAGCACTGTGGCGCATTGGTCGGTTTTAAAGAAAACCCTACAAAAAGGATACGGTGGGCTACTACAGTCGATGACTAAACTTAAACATAGGCGGAGCCTGGTGCCATTGCGGCAGTGTGGCCAAGAGAGCCCTGCGGCGCCCTTGAGTGGTCGCATGGTGGTGTTGTACCTAACTCTTGTGGATGGTGATCATCATGCACTCAAGGTTTTTATACAGCACACCCAGGGGCGTGTGAATGGTTGTGTTGACAAACTTTCGCTCAAATTTCCGGGGTGGGGTGGGGGGGGATGAGAGCCCCCCCCCCCCCCACTCCGAAGGGAGGCCTGGAAGAAACTGCTAAGAAATAACTGGTTGCGCTAACCTATACCCCGTGAGGATATTTGCAATTCGCCCCACACAAAGTGGAGGTGTTAACGCCGGTCTTGGTAACTTACTGGTATCAGTCCATAGTTAAACACGCGTATTGAAATAAAACCATACTACGTGATGATTTGCATTTAAAAATCAACAGTAAGTTTTTTTTTCTTTACGCCATGGGAAAACTTGTATAACGTGAAAATGTGATGAGCTCGTATTCCCAAATATTCAATATTAACAAAGGTGTAGTTTAAAGAACTCTAATTACTGAGAACTTTCCAGAATATAGGGTACAGTGAGACCAAGTAGGCCTATACACAGTGGCGTAGCGAGGGTCGGATGTCACCCGGTGCGGCACTTAATGGTGTCACCCCCCCCCCCCCCCCCCCCCCAGAGGCGTAGCGACCCTTCCCGGGGACAAACTTTCAAATTTTTTATTTGCATCCCCCTCAACCTTTCGATTTGCATCCCCCCTCAAACTTTCGATTTGCACCCCCCCCCCCCCTCAAATTTTTCTCTATATATTTTGCTACTTTTTGCCTTGGTGTCACCCCCCTAAATGGTGTCACCCGGTGTGATCCTCACCCCCCCGCACCCCCCCCCCCCCCCCGCTACGCCTCTGCCTATACATGATTACTCTAATCTACAAATAGAGTGAAATTGCCTATTCAAAGAAAATATTAAAGATAAAATATTTCATATACAAATAACGTACATTTCAAACAAACGATTCATTTGTTAATTGTCAGTTTCTTTTTACATATATTACTAACAGCTTTGTGAACTCGGTTTATCTTGAGTATCAGTAGGGGTTCGGGGTGGAGTAATACTTAAATTCCATACCAAGATAACCGCATAACAAAAATAAAATAACAACAACAAAACATTAAGAACGTATCGTTATATTGAAGTTGTAGTAAAAATAGTTGAAAAAAATTCGCCATGTCTTTTTATGGAGAGCCTCTTCTTGGTCACTTTTTTTTGTAGAATAGTGTGTGTGTGTGTGTGCGTGTGTGTGTGTGTTTGGCGTGGTGGGTGGTTGGATCTTTTGACGTCATTTAATGAAAGGCTGTGTGTTTTTATTTTAAAACAAAAACATGTATGGAAGACCCCTTGTGTGATAGAGCCTTCCATTGTTGGCAGAGGCGTAGCGAGGGGGGGGGGGGGCATATGTCCCCGGGCGCCGACCTTAGGGGGGGCGCCTAAATGGGTTGGAAAAACAAATTGAAAGTTTGAGGGGGAGGGGGGGGGGGTGTAAATCAAAAGTTCGAGGGGGGGGGGTGCAAATCGAAAGTTTGTCCCCGGGCGCCGGGAAGGGTCGCTACGCCTCTGATTGACATTGAACACAACCGTGTGAGAAGCCCTCTTGGTCCCAGAAGTCACAGCCCCCAATGCAATGGCAAAGCGTGGGGGGGGGGGGGTGGCAAGGGGGGGGGGGGGTGCGGACCGCACCGGGTAACACCATTTAGGGGGGTGACACCAAGGCAAAAAATAGCAAAATATATAGAGAAAAATGATAATTCCACTTTATTAAGTGATTAATTCGAGTGTTAAATAGTCTTTTAAGAGGTGCAAATCGAAAGTTTGAGGGGGGGGGGTGCAAATAGAAAATTGAAAGTTTGTCCCCGGGAAGGGTCGCTGCGCCTCTGGGGGGGGGGGGTGACACCATTAAGTGCCGCACCGGGTGACACCCGACCTCGCTACGCCACTGCCCCAATGTGTTATCCACTGCACCTCATCCAACGCACGCGGGGGGTTCCCAGCACTAAATCGTAACACGAAACCTATTAATTGCCTGGGCCTAAACGCAGTAGAGCCAAGACACTTGAATTGAACTTAACTCTAACTTTAAAATGTATGCAAATGTATGCCTAACCAGGGGCGTAGCGAGGGGGGGGGGAGGGCGGGGGTGCGGACCGCACCGGGTGACACCATTTAGGGGGGTGACACCAAGGCAAAAAATAGCAAAATATATAGAGAAAAACTCGAGGGGGGGTGCAAATCGAAAGTTTGAGGGGGGGGGGGTGCAAAAAATCGAAAATTTGAAAGTTTGTCCCTGGGAAGGGTCTCTATGCCTCTGGGGGGGGGGGGTGACACCATTAAGTGCTGCACCGGGTGACACCCGACCTCGCTACGCCACTGTGCCTAACAACTTAGAAGGTAAATGGTTTTTTTTTGAGACCGCTGCTTTTGTAGTTCATTTTTATAGGCCTCTGCTGATGCATCAATCTGGTACGAGCGAAGAATAAGAATACAATTACATCGTTCCTATTCAGTAGTTTTTGCAATGAGCATATGTTTCTTAAAGTAAAGAACTTATTTGAAATGACGTGGACTACTGTTTTATTTTAATGTGAACAATGTGGGAGACCGCATTCCAAGATTGCACAATCAGTCACTAAACTTATGTGTAAGTATTTTTCCTATAATTTATTATCTTGATAGCGGTGGGTATGGCATAGGCCTAGCCCCCCCCCCCCCCCTTTTTTAAAAAATCCTCTAACCTCCGCAGGCCAAAGTAGGGGATCTACCGAGTTAACGATTGGTACTCTTAATTAATTAGGTATACCTAGATCTAGGGTGCTATTTAAATTAGGCTAGTTTAGCCAATCGATTTGTCTATGACTCGATTGCCGCGGAGCTCTTCTAAATCTTATCGTCTGGTAGGCCGACCCAACGTCGGACAGGTGACGACATGCTAACTATGCCTAGCCATCCAGTTTCAAAGATTAAAAAGTACTAGCAACTAGATCTAGGCCTAATTGAAAGCATAAACATAATAGATTCTAGATATAGATCTAGATCTATATCAAGATCTACTTTAAAAAAAAATTCTAAGACTATTTTTTTTTTACTATTGCTAGAAGAATTGCACCATTTTCGTCCAAGGTACTTAGACTAGATCTAGAATAGATCTAGATCCTCTATTGCCCTTTTTAGACAAGGTAGCCGGGCTAACGGGTCGCTCGTGACGATAGTTTAGCCTACATTTTGAAACGCTTCAACCGCCATCCAACTTTACATGTAGGCTACACGCGAACGGAAATACGTACCGGTATCCTATATTCTACATTTAAATTTTAAGCTTTAAACCCATAAATCTAGATCTAGATCTAAAGGTAGAATCTAGATCTAGATCTAATAGTGTAGTCTAGATCTATAATAAACAAATAAAATATTTTTAAAAAAATGACACATCGTTCTCAATAAACGCTTTTGTTTGGAATGAATTCAATCTTCGAATTTGATGAAAATGTCGAGATCGATCTAGATTCTAGATCTAGATTCTAGACTCTATATATAGAAATCTAGTAGAACTAGTTCTATAATCTAGATCTAGAGGATCTAGATCTAGATTTCTTTAACAAGCCGACTTTGTATTTTAGGTTGATTTAGTTAGAAGTGCCATGGTTTATTAAAATTTAAAAATAGTCTATCGAATCTGTATTTTAATCTATTCCAGGCCTAGATCTAGATTAGATCTATATCTAAATAAAACCTAGCATTATGGCTAATCTACCAATCTTTATAATCTAAAAGCGCATAGGCCTAGTGCTGTTCCCAATTTCCCACTTTTCTGTCTAGATCTAGTACGTTTAAGTTTAGCCTAGCAACAAGCGGACCGCCAGTGTAGGCTATGCCTAACCGATAAAAGCTAGATCATGAGTGCGGTGTGGGAATGATGACATGCTGACCTCTCGGTAACCCCACAGTTGTAGGGGAAAAAAAGATGACCGGAACAAGTGGGGTAGGCTATAGAATAGGCTACAGAGACCTTAGAAGCCTAAACACAAACCTTATGAACAGGAGGCGGTAGATCTCTAGAAGAAAGTAACATCTTGCAAATCTAGTTTGCAGTTTACATTATTATCCAAATACAAAATGATCTAGATCTATTCTAGATTCTAGATCTAGTTTAAAATGTAAGTAATTTAAAGAAAGAAATTCTACAATAGAGATGAAATTATAACTGAAATTTGTTATTGTTATTAAATATTAATCTGCTACTTTATTCGTGTGTTGAGAATGTAATGAATGACACTGTATTTCCACTGCAATGTTCATTTTAGATTTTTAGGTAAAAAAAAGTTGAAGTGTGAGTAATGGATTACATCATTACAGCACGGATTATCATACTAGACTCTAGACTGAGAGTCGATTTCATTATGCCTATTTGAAGTAGATCTAGATCTAAAAAGTATTTGTTAATGAAATGATAGATCTATTAATACTACACTATAATATAGTATAGGGGCCTAATAGATCTAGTAGGCCTAATGGGCCTAATAGATATAGATCTAGGCCTACTATACGAATTAATAAAATAGATCTAATCACTAGATTTAGATTTCTGTCTAATTGAAATCGATGTTGTCAACTAAAGAATAGATGGATCCAGAATATCCATATTTTATTCATAATTTATTAATTACCCCTCTTTTATTGCCATATGAAATTAACTAGATCTAGACTATCTATTGAAACAGGACATTCACATTGCAACAGGAGTGCCAATAGACCCCTTTATCTAATTTTTTGTTTTGTTTTAATTTTAGCATACAATAATATTAATTAAATTAATTAGGCCTAATAGAACATGGACATCTATAGCCAGTGTAATTTAGATCTGGATCCATGGATTCAGATTTTAATTCTACCTTTTTTGCAAGTATTTTTGTCCTACTATAAAAATTTGATCAAGTTCTAGCTAGAGTATAATATGCAATTTTATTTTTAAAGTGACTACTCGGAAAAAGATTTTTCAGCAGAAGTTATGAAACTCAAGAGTTCTGCACATGCACAGTGACTGAATAGCTGCGCTTAGGGTTAGGATGAGGATTAGGGTTCTGTGGTTTGTTTGTAAACTGTTTGTAAACACACACATGCACAGTACTATCGAAAACACATCAGTAGTTTCTCTCTATCTATTGCGCATGAGTATCTTTTTCTGGCTAGAATAGCCCTTTTATTTTACTATTGAGTTGACTCAGTCCAAAGTTCAAGCATTGCAATTTGGGTAATTTTCTCATAAAATTTAAACTTGCTAAAAGCCCCTAGCTAGGTCTACCATCCTATTTGGGTAAACCTCACTGCAGCTACCAACTTTATTTAAATAGCTGGGATTGACTTGCCATGTAGCCTTGCATTGGGATAGTTATGAATTATGAATAGGCCTATTATATATATATATTTTTGAGCCAAATTTATCATCATCCCCTAACCCTTAATGGATCACAACAGTTGATCTTATAATTCTCTGCCATCCATCTCTGCCCTCTGCCATTTCGATTAGTTCTGAGATGGGCAGCCTCATCCAATCCTTGACGCCACCCATCCATTGACATCTTTGCTTTCCTCTTCTTCTCCCTCCTAGCACAGTGCCTTGCTATATTGTTCTGGATATGCATTTAGTTCATCTGAGATAACTCTTCAAAATGATAAATTGATAAATCTGATATCCTATTGGCTTATAATTATTGATATTTGCAGCCTAAATATAATCTACTGTCAAAGCATATGCCAACAGATCCTGATAAATGTTCACATGATTTTGCATATACAATCAATGAATAACTTAACATGAAATTTTTAAAATTTAAATCATGACAAGACTTGAAACTATAGACAGGTCTTTTATCTATTTGGTGGTAGTTTTGGAGCTAGAAGGCCTATAGGATGCATTAGGTTGCTAGAGTATGCTACCTGTTAATTTAATGAGATGAACAAACTAAAAAATTTAATGTGTTTTTGTTTCTGAAAGACAGGTTTAGATAGAATGCTAAAATAGTAAATATACATAAAATGTAGAGAAACAATTGGTGCAACTAAGCTGGAAAAACTGGCAAGATGCACTATTGAGTTACAGTGCTTGACTTTGTGTATTATATTTAAGAGGCTGGCTGTCACTTCATAACCCTCATCTATAGATGGAGATGTAAAAACATAATGTGACTAGCTATTTCACTGCAGGCATTTGTAATGGCATTTTTAGGTTTTGCCTTAGGGCAGTGAAAAACAACTTGAAATAGGCATTTTTCATTCTCTTTCTATGTATACCACACCTGAACTTTTGTGTGTGTGTGTGTGTGAATAGTCTAGTCAGTAACTATATCCCTAATTGCACAACATTGATTTCAATATGTGCCCAGAAATTCAGTCTCTGCATGTTTCCTACCCTGCCTCATCTGACACAACACCCTCTGGTGTTTCCCAGTATGACCCCATTCTCATGACCTTAGTCTTGATGAACTGCAAGCTGAAGTAACGCTGTGAAACTATAACTTTCTTTTGTTTTATATTTGAACGTAGATGTGAATCACTTAACTCAAAAAAGAATGTAATGGTTCAACTTTTTTTTCAGCATTATGATAGACCTCACACGACTTACAAGGCAACTTTATTCCCATGACCAGTTATCTAGAATTGCCCATCCTTTGTGCTGTTCTCTTGACCCCAATTACTCAACCCTCCTACCTGTTAAGGGATTGATACAGGACAGTTTGGTAAGTAGCAACACCTTAATGCCCATCACCCCCAGCACTATTCATACTACTAGGTTTAAACTATTTATAAAACATTTTTCTGTATAATACTGAAAAGCTCATTCAATTGTAAGACCTACATAGATATTTTCTCAAAACCGTGTGTACTATCATTTATATATTTTCTTATACTAGAAGTGCAACAAACAATGCAACAACCCATGACAGTGCAGTTAAGAAGGAGTAATTGGAGCTGGGTGGGACATACACTGCATAAGGCTGACTCTAATGTGACACTCCAGGTGCTTGAGTCAAACCCCTAGGAAAAGTGAAAGAGAAGGCACCCAAGTCAGACCTAGAGGCAGAGTCTTCTTGAAGAACTGAAGACAGCAGGAATGTCTTGAGGGGGTTTGCAAAATCAACAGCGTGGAATGGAGGGCTATGGTTAAGGCCCTTTACTCTCCACAATGAGTAAAGAGGTTTGTCAAGTCAAGAAGTACAATATGTGAGTTTAATTGCACTGAGTACCGTATGTTTGATAGAACTTAATACCATTTGCATTAGATAGCACTGAGTACCATGTGCATTAGATAGCACTGAATACCATTTGCATTAGATAGCACTGAATACCATTTGCATTAGATAGCACTGAATACCATTTGCATTAGATAGCACTGAGTACCATTTGCATTAGATAGCACTGAATACCATTTGCATTAGTTAGCACTGAATACCATTTGCATTAGATAGCACTGAGTACCATGTGCATTAGATAGCACTGAATACCATTTGCATTAGATAGCACTGAATACCATTTGCATTAGATAGCACTGAATACCATTTGCATTAGATAGCACTGAGTACCATTTGCATTAGATAGCACTGAATACCATTTGCATTAAATAGCATTGAATACTATTTGCATTAGATAGCACTGATTACCATTTGCATTAGATAGCACTGAATACCATTTGCTTTAGATAGCACTGAGTACCATTTGCATTAGATAGCACTGAATACCATTTTCATTAGATAGCACTGAGTACCATTTGCATTAGATAGCACTGAGTACCATCTGCATTAGATAGCACTGAGTACCATTTGCATTAGAAAGCACCGAATACCATTTGCATTAGATAGCACTGAATACCATTTGCATTAAATAGCATTGAATACTATTTGCATTAGAGAGCACTGAGTTGAGTACCATTTGCATTAGATAGCACTGAATACCATTTGCATTAGATAGCACTGAATACCATTTGCTTTAGATAGCACTGAGTACCATGTGCATTAGATAGCACTGAATACCATTTGCATTAGATAGCACTGAATACCATTTGCATTAGATAGCACTGAATACCATTTGCATTAGATAGCACTGAATACCATTTGCATTAAATAGCATTGAATACTATTTGCATTAGATAGCACTGAGTACCATTTGCATTAGATAGCACTGAATACCATTTGCATTAGATAGCACTGAATACCATTTGCTTTAGATAGCACTGAGTACCATGTGCATTAGATAGCACTGAGTACCATGTGCATTAGATAGCACTGAGTACCATTTGCATTAGGTAGCACTGAGTACCATTTGCATTAGGTAACACTGAATACCATTTGCATTAGGTAGCACTGAATACCATTTGCATTAGATAGCACTGAATACCATCTGTTTTTTATAACACTGAGTACAGTGTGTTTGATAGTATGGAGTACCATTTGTATTTTTTGATAGCACTGAGTACCATGTGTGTATGATAGCACTAGATAATATTGAGTACCATGTATGGCTAATGTTGAGGTCTGATTTTCATGTTTATACAAGTGTATAATACTCTAATTTTAGAAATATGATTTTTACCCTAATACTTGTGTCAAGGTTAACATTTAGGATTTTCTTAATGAAATTTTAAACTGAATAAAGCTTGTCTTATATCTTTACTGTCTGTATTATGTCATTAATCATCCTCACCTTCTCTGTCAGGTCATTCTGGGTTGTATTCTATGAGCCTGTGTTGATCAGATGTACGCCTACCTGCCCTGTAATATTATGTCTGACAACGTGTGCTGCCCATTTTTTGTGTCTGTCTCAAGGTCACCTGACAAAACTGGGTTCATTAATAAATGCCAGGTTTGTTTTTGCTTCGTTATTTTGTTAAAAGAGAAAAGTAACATTGCCAGTGCAGGTTCCCACTGTAAGCCACATGACTATGTCTGTGGCAGTCATACTGTATAGTAATAATCAGCTTTACTTGACTTTTTCTGACTCAATGCTGAGTACCATTCATAATCTGTTTGACTCCATCAAAATTATGATTGTTTTATCCTTTGATATTATAATCTAAAGCTTATTTTATCTAGTTATGCCTCCTAAGAAAATGTTTTAAAAGTTTCATGTCATTATCTTCCCTTTATGTGATTTCTGTAGGTGTGAACTTGAGGTTAATAGCTGAGTGAAATTATGTATACATTCAACTGCAATTCATTGCTGTTTTCCTGGTAGCTAGAAAATGGGTTGATAACCCGGTCCATCAGTGAAAGTGGCCACGCAGTTCACTTTGGTAAGACTTTCTGGCTGCACATTTCACAACACATGCAATTATGAGTGGTTACAAAATGCCTCAGATAGTATGAACAAAAATAACACAGTATTTCTTATACATTTTTATTATGTTGAATCACATTCTATGTAAAAAAAACCTGCAGAAATTAAAAGAAAATAATTGTTTTTATTCATCTTCTTGTAAATAAAGATAAACAAACAGACAGTTACTGTAAAATTCTCTACTCTGCTTTTAGAACAAGAATTTAACCTTTGTATTGCATTCTTCCTGTTAAACATAATTTTTAAAAATGTATAACAATACAACAATAAAAACTTACAAATTTAATAAAAATGTTGAGTGATTCATACATTTTTTTCCAAATTCAATGTATAATTAGTTATTTGTGAGGAAAGATTATAAAAATGTAATCTATTTAGATACATAATTTTGTTCAATGCATAATCAGTGAAGAACCATAAAGAAATGTGATTTCTTTAGAAAGATGAAACAATTGTTAGTAACCAACAACCCATATCACGGATATTACGAATGCTCATGTAAAGAAAATTGCTTTACCCTTTTGTTAGAAAGCAAGACTTTTAAAATTCTGCTGTTATGTAGTGATTTCCACAACCCTTACCAACTTGCCAAAAGATACTTTAGATGAGGTCTATTTACACATTTCTTATTAACGATGTATGAAATAATGTTGGTACTCTAAATCTGGCGACATACGACAAAGGAAAGGATAGGCTAAATAGAAAGCTATTTCAAACATAAGGGCAGAGCAAACTAAAATTCTTTAGAATAATATTTCTCAACATATCCACCTGACTTCCCTTATAAACTAAATATTAACCCTTGCTGTCACTAAAAATCTTAAAAAAAAATAAATTAAGTGTGCAAACTTTTCTTTCCTGTTTAATAATGTTTTGATGTTTACCTTTAGTTAAGGAATGAGGAGTAAGTTAAGACATTTCTGTCTGGATGCAAAAATATACAGGTGCTGGCATTTTTAGTGATAGTGATGAGTGCAAGTTGTGGAACGGAAAAGTAGTAGTTTGAATCTACACTCGTTCATTCTTGCATTAAGTTTTTGCTAAAATTTTATGTATATTATAATGTAATATGGATAATAGAATTGAAGAGAAAACTGATTAAACTACATTGTTTGAATTCTTAAAGTAGAATAAAAGTATAAATGTGTTAAAGTTGATTAGAAGCTTTTTTGGAGGTAGCTTAAATAAATGTTTAAAAAAAATGTATAATCTAAAGTAACTATAGTAAAATAAAATCTTTTTTGCAGAATGACAGAAACTGAATTCATGATTATGATAAACAATGACTTTTCCTAAACTTTGAAGGTATGTAATACTTAATGAAATTAAATGCTAACTTATCAAAGTTTATTTATATTTAGTAAAACAGTGAAACAGAAATTTAAAATAAGTAAACAAAAAGGGGAGATAATGTCATAATTATTTCTTATTTTAAGTGGTGTTGATAATTAATCTCACTAATATAGATTAGATTACATATTAGCAGTGTTTATTCATTACTAATTTCATTTTTGTATATGGATGTATAATGCATTTATTGTAATGTAGTCTCTAATTGAAAATATGTTATCCAAACTGTTCTATAGTGTTAAGAAAAGAAATAAAAATGATGTATGTATAAAGAATGTATGGACAGAATTAATGAAAAAGATGAATTATATTTCCTGTTTGAATCAGGGAGTTTTGCATCAAGTTGCTTTACTGTCAGGGAACTTGTCACTTGCGGATGTGTTTGATGTTTAGAGCCACACTTCCTCGTTCCTAAGGCCACAACCTGGGCACAGAGGCACAAATTATGGTCTCAGGGAAAAGGTAGGGGCCATTTCTTTTCTTCAACTGCTCACCGTCTCACCCGTTGTCGTTCTGTTGGATGATCACAGCTGTGTGATGAGATGTAGCTCAGTTGTCACAAGAATAGCGAATTTAGGAATAAAGTAAAAAAAACAAGATAACACCAAAACACTGATGTAAAAAAAATAAGAACAAATTTACAACAAAGGTGCGACTAGCTAAGCTCCATAGTGATAAAAACATAACCAATGGAAATGAAGAAAAATTATTTATACTGGAAATATAATAAATTAGTTTCAATAAAAAATATTGCTAATTATAATTAAAACAATGCAGGCAAACATGTAAATAGGCAACAACTTACTCAACCATTCAAAAGTAAATTTTGGGTATGAACATAATTGGGATCAGCAGTTGCATAAATGCAACTCTCACTAAATCTGAAAAAGCTTGCCTGTAACTTATGTTCTAAGGGTTATTTATTGTTCTCTTGTGAATTTTGGTGTATCTCTAAAGCTTTTCTGTAGTCATTAAGTAAAATGTGTGAACCAAATTATGACAATGACCTAATGTTACAATGTTGTTCTAGAACTTGATGAAACTATCTCCTGAAGTTTGATTAAAATTATCAAAATGGTGTTGCATTTTTTTCTGTGCATTGTGAGGAATAATTAATTCACATAAAAATCTATTTGAACTTTAAATTACTTCCCTTTTAGCTACCTAAATATGTTAAATATATCTATGCATAAATGAGAATATGAGTTAAATTCTATATTCTGTGTAAACTTAAGTACAAACAAGTACATTATTTCCCTCTCTTGTTCAGTTTGTAGTCCAACATTTGTATAAAAAAAAAACAAAAAAAAAAAACCAATGTCCTTTAGTTTAGAAAAGTAATGTTTAATTAAAAGAAACACCGACAACCTCTGTTTTGTATATCAAGACATACCTGTTTCAAAAAGTCATGGGTTGAAATGTCAATGAACCACTTCCCTTTTATTATATGCATGTGTTATTATATTGCCAAGAAAAGCTAAGATACATTAATTTATTCTAGACACTTGCTAATTATTATAAACAAAAAGAACAAAAACTAAAGTACTTGATCACTTTATTTATTACTTTAAGTACATTTTTGAAATCCTTCTGTTATGGTTTTTGGTTACCTTTTACAGATAGTTACATATAAAAAAAAGTATTCGTTAATTGATGATGAATAAAATGAAATATTTGTTATAAAAAATAATTCTAAAATTGTTTTTATCAGTTACATTCAGAGATAATATTTTATTTTTTCTCTATTTTTGGAGTTTTTTATCTCTGTGTTTTTCTGATTCAAATTAGAAAGAAATCTCCACTGATTTATACAACTTGAGTAATAAAAACACTTGTATGATGTTTTTTTTTTTATAAAAGCAGTAATGACTTGCAAATATCTCCATTCATCATCAAAATTATTTATCTAATGATAATACTTAAGTATATTAGTGGCTTAAATAAATTAGTGTGACATGCTTTAAATAAAATAAATAATCTAATAATTATAGTATGTAAAGAGTGCTGGTAAGGTGTAATATTCACAGACAAAATAAAAACATAATAAATAGAGACAGCAGTATGCACACAGTATACAACAGTAGAAGAGTACACCTTTCTCTGTAAAGATGACTCTAACAACATTGACACACTGATACATTTTCTGCAGGTACTAAACATAGCATCACATCTTTGTTTTTACAACACAATGAACATACATTTTTTGTGTGACATACACTGTAATTGTCTTAAGATACTCAGAGGAAATGTCCAAGTACGGCCCAGATAGCGTCAGCCCCACTGAAACAAAACCAACACCTGTTTGGTTTGTTGACGTGTGGCCTGACACTGAGCGAGGGGAGGGACTGAGTGGTGTTGATCTTCATACCTCGGGGAAAGCTAGCAGATTGTACTGTTCTTCAGTTTGGGTGTAGTTCTTAACAATACAACCTACTACCTCACTTCGGGGTACATAAACTCAGTGTGGACACCTAACATGAAAGCAACATAATTAGAAACAACACACAGGCCAGACATGCAGGTGATTGTGCGCAACTTGGCTATTGATTCAAGTTTGTACAGAATTTTTTTTTTTAAACTACAAATCAACAGGCAAAAATAAAAAAGAAAACAGAGTACAATATTTCTAACACAAAAGCGAACATTCACCGTGTTTTGTCCACATAAGTAACAGCTTTTGTATCCTGATGATTGTTGAACTGGATCTCATGTGGTTTAAAGTGACGGCCCATACCCATAGATGCAAACTTGTGAATGGGACGCTAATGCGCACAAGTTCGGTTCTACGGGTTTGAGCCATCATATACTATATCTTTTTCTAAGCGGCAACCAACTGATGTGTTTTATGTGATTGTCTAAAAATACAAATTGGACATGATTTAAATGTTTTATTTTTAAATAGACATAATTATTTAGGTACATAAAAGGTAAACTAAAAATAAAAACTAGATATGGTTAAAAAATAAAGTTAATTTTATAATAGACAATTAAAAAAAAGACAAAAGCATGTGTATAAATATAAGTTAGAAAAACAATCTCAATCGACCTTTTTGAAATGGATACAAAATTAAAAACTTTATAGGATGAATGATTTATCAAAGTCAAAATTGGGCAAGGTAGTAAAAACATTCAAGTCTAACATAAAATTTTATTGAAAAAGCCTGCAAGCCTAGTAATGCTTAGAGACTCAATTTAGCACTCAATAGGTGCAGGTGTGAAGTGCACCTGCACCATTTTATGGCCACAGAAACTCTTTGTTCCGCACTGTGAACTAATCTTATTGTGATTTTTAAAATTAATTTAGGAACTTACAAATCCTGTTTTTGAAATATTTTTTTTTTGATTCAATGAATAAAAAAATTACTGTGGGAAATTTTCTTTCTTTTTATTATGAACTACTTAATGTTGAATCTTAAACACAAGCAATAATCACTTTGCATTTTGCTAAATTTTTAAAATTTTTAAAGCCAACATAGAAGCATTTTTACACTTACAATGAAAATATTAGTTAATAATTTGTTCTAAGGTGTGGTTGTTTCCCTTTGATCAGTAATTTTTTTTTTTCCTTTTTATATCCCACTATCATACTGACTTAAAATCATGAATGGTTATTTTTTTTTTTTTTTTAGAAAGAACACCTGAAATGTCCTTACCAATTTTCCCACACACAATCACCAGTGATTTTATTCTGAGGTTTTGAATGATGATTTTCTTACTTTGCCAGGTTGCTGTCCTACACAGAACAGATGTGACTCATCCCAAACCTGTGAGTCCATTCATCTTTTAGTCAGCTTACTTATACACCCAATACACCTTACTAGATGGTTCAGCTTTGCCATTAATGTCTCACTAGACCTATATATACTGTATAGACCTATACATCATATTATGGTTTCACTTTGGAAGCCATAACAAAACTACTAATACTAAACCGAAACAAAAATACTTAAGTTGCCCCTGCTTAGGCAGAAGCTAAAACTTCTAAATTTACCAATTTAAACCATACGTTTGCACACTATAAATCTTATGTTAAGTTCTCACTATAACTCATTAAGGTCTCACTACAACTGATACTGAAACTAAGATAAATAAACTTAGCAATACCTTGCCATCATGCAATGAAACCAGCAACTACTTTGACTCTGTATGGAAGTGGAGCATCTCTACACCATTTGTTTTTCTGTCAGTAGAAAAAGATAATTGGAAACATTTAAAATTCAGCAAAATCTCTGTGCTTTGTATTGTCTGTAATTGAATTTGATTGAAAGCATAAGTTAATTAACCACTTCCAGGCTGCCATAGCACAATGTCAAGTTCCTCTAAACCTTCACTTAGTGTGTGGGGGAAAAATGAATAATTAAACTGCAGTATGCTTTGAGTGTAAGCAGACATATCTAAGGGTGTCACCACTTTTTGTCGGCACTGTCCAAATTCATGATCGTTTCCATCAAAGTTCATGCCTATCTCAAGTTGATGTTTCAATGTAATTTTATGTCTGTGATTTTCATCATTTGATTCAAGGTTATATCTTTGTAATTTTCATCTTCATTTTATTCAAGGTTGTCTTTGTAATTCTCATCTTCATTTGATTCAAGATTATGCCTTTGTGATTTTCATCTTCATTTTAATTGAGAAAAAGAATTTTTGGCTGTATTATAAAAATCCAAATTTATAAGAAATTTGTTTTCTTTTCTTAATGTCAGTGTTACAACTATATGTCTGTTACAACTGTATGTATCTTTTATCTATATGAAGTCTATATCTTTATAACATTCAGTTAAAATTAAGTTAATGTCTGGGCAGTGTTCACTTTGAGTTGTCTGTCCTAAGGTTTTATTTTAAAAGTTTTGCCCTGCCACATTGTGTGTGATTAAACTTAACAAAACAACTGCAGTGACGGTGGTCTATTTTTAGCCCGGTAAATTTATGTTGGTTATGCTTGGCTGCCTAAATAGGATGATTCATTGGTGTCTGATTTTTTTTGTGGATACATACATTTCATTAAATATTTTTTTGTACTCCCTGTATTTCAAGGCCATTAAAAAAAACAACATATAGGCCTACATGTTTTTATAAGTTTACATTGATGTAGTTTTATCTTAATTCAGATATTTAAATATCAAACTTAAAAATCTTATTTCTGACTATGTGCATACTTGCATTTATGAAATTGATTTTTGTGTGTGTGCATAAGTTTCTGCTTTATCTAGTATCATTTACATTTAGCGATAATCTCCCCTTGACTATATTTTTTTCCCTCCCCTTCCCTCCCGCCATAGACTTGACGTGTAAAGTTCTATCGCCTGGTGAACTTACGACCAACTGGTGTTATTATGTCTGCGTCTGCGTTTACTTCCGGTTTTATTTTTGATCTGCAAGCTAGCAGCGATTATATGCTTTTTTTTTTTCTTTTTCGCACATTTTATGGCATTGCCCCGTAGTGGTGTAGACCGTTAGACCATTATGTACACAGGGATGTGTAATGTGTATGATTATCAGTGCATAGCATACACTGAGTGCAAATACAGAGAACACCTACTGTAAACATCAGCACCATGGTTTTAAAGAAATTATTATTTGCTTTGCTGTAACAGGCGGTGTATCGCTTGTGTCGTATCTAATGAAAATAAGGCGCTTTTGTAATCGCAAGCAGGCCTTTTCGAATGTATTTTTTGTTTTTGGTATCGAGATCGTAACGCCGAGACTAGCGATACCTGTGCAGAAAAATCCACACATACGATACGATACTGACAAACTTGGTAGAAATAAAAAGAATTATTCTACAAAGGACTACAAAGAATGATGAGAAAGTTTTACTCTACCAAGTATGTCGTGACAATTGATATGGTTGATGCGTATATTTCCTGCTGCTGATGGTTTAAACTTGACACAAACACATTTTTTAAGTATCCGAACTGCACATTTTGAAAACATACTCTCACACAACAAATTCTATGATTGTTTTCTACTTGCTAGGACATTTTTTTTTTAAAACTGAGAATATCCAGGGACTTAAAACTTTACCCTACACATTCTAATTTTTTTTAAAGACACATTTATGGAACTTCACACTGTCTACTTGTTAAACATCAGCACACGTTTATGTAGCAGCCGTAGGTGGAAATATCACATTTTGATTCTCACTTTTTAACTGTTTCAGTTTACCACAAGTTTATAAAACTTTAATCAGCCTAACTATCACTGACCCTTATTGTACACCGTCTATTTCACATGAAAGTTTATGATACTGAACTAGACCTAACTACACGTCACTCCTGTATTCTACTGTCTAGCCGGTCTCAACAACAGGTTTAAGAAACTGCACTTCTCACAGAAAATAAAAACAAAACAGCGACCACTCTTGAGTGAAAAGACTGTACAATGCATTACGCCGACCTGTGTCTAATTATCTCTACTGCTCAGATATTCGACACATCGATCCACAACCGTTTCGGGTTGAGTGCACCCGCGCGTCATCGATCACGCTGCACCGGGCGCGACAGCAGACGACTAACAATAAAACCAGCGACCCCCACCCTCACCCGTTTCACTTGGTCGAACGTCCCACTTTACATATGGAGGAGGAGAAAAAAATGGGCTCTAGTCTTTTTTATTTATAACATTTTTAGTTGTGAAATTTACTTTTCATACACTGAGTTTGGTGCTACTAAACACTAAGCCACTCGGTGTATTCTCCCCCCTTATCGTCCCCGCGCTGGTTACTTCCCCTTAAAAAAAACCACAAGTCTGTCATTATTGAAGTTTTTACACCCCCTCCTCCCGGTTTCGCGGTTATACGAGTCTCCACCGACCAGGCCTGCTGCCGTTGCAGACGGCTGACTCGAAACTGTGTCACTGGGACGAGGTGCTTCAATCGTGACGTCATTCGGTCACGATTGGCTAGGCTTGTTTCAGCCGTAAAACCTTCAATATTTGGGGGTTTGAAATAATAGTTTTACATTACTGCGGTAGTGAATTAAGAAACCCAGACACATTTTAACTGACCGTAAATTAAGATATTATTTTTAAAAAGATAGCTATTCCTTGTATACAGAATTCCGAAAAAGTTCACATTTGCTATAAACATTTTTTTTTCAAATGTTGATTAAAAAATAGTTCAAACACAAGACAGAGTCCGTTGATGTTGTTGCGTGCTTTTGTGAAACATTTTTTCTTTGATAGCTCATCACATTTAGCAAGCAGAACTATTTTAACCTTTAGTTGAGCAGTTGAACTGTAATTATCGATTGCCCAAGTTGGTCGATGGTTTTAAAAAAAAAAGATGTATTGATTCAGTTTAAAACTAACCAGTCAAATAAAAATCAATGAGTGTGTTGATAGCTGGGTTATATGTCATGAACATTATAGATCTATTTTTCTCTCTCCCTCCGAGCTTATCTAAGATTTATTGGAAATATTCCTGTATTGTAATAAATGATTGATACGCGATGGGACGAAATTGGTTGTGGCGCTGTCACAGGCTTGATCATAAAAACGCCGTTTTTGCTAGTTCTTTTATATCCATAAGTATTGCACACAACACGCGGATGACACATACGTTGGGAACATTGATTTTACACGTCTGTGTCTTTTTTCTTTTATCCATTGTAATCGTTTTGTATTACTATGTATTACATTTGTATTAAATTTCTTATTGAAAAAAAAAAAACAACTCATACTTAAAAAAAAAAAAACTTTAAAAATCTGAAGGCGAAAATGAAAAAAAAGAAGTAAAAAACAAAATATTAAAAGTATGATGGATGGGTTTAAGCTAGGTCAATGTGGTACAGTATGGGGAACCGTAATTAGGTCACCGCGATGTAGGGTAGAGTGGCGGTTGTGATGGTGATCCCAGTGTGATTGCCAGATTTTTACCCCCAGTGGGGCACATTCGAAGCATTATTAATTACATTTAAAAAATAAAAAAAAATAAACTGAGTAAATAATTACAATACATTAAAATTATCTATAAATAAGCCATTATTATTTTCTCAGGAAATAACGCAATTTAGGTTCTGAAATGGTAAAAACGTTTTACACCGTTGCACTTTTTTTTTATTTCACGGCCAACTGGCAATACGTGGCAGCCATTCGCTAGTAATTGAAATAGGTCGATAGTCTAGCTAGAAATGAAGCTGACGAAGCGTGGAGGGAACTATTGATTATACATAATCAAAAAGGTGGCTTTTTTATTCTGCTTACCTGGCACTAAACAGGTTTTGATAGTACAATGACATGTTAAGTTTTGTGAGTGAAACTAAAAAAGTCAAGTGAGTCAACCCTTATATTGTATTCACACAAACACCGATTTCTTCCTCCCCCCCCCTCCCTACCTACAACGACCCACTCCACTCAGTACCCGTTCCAGCATTTTGACCAACAATTTTTTGCCACTGATGGTTAGAAAAAGTATGTAATTCTGCACGTGTTAGCTCCTTTAATCGCAGGCATAAAACGAGGCTAATAAGCTACCAAGTATATTAGAATATTGACTTTATTACACGAAAAGATTTTCATAGTTATGTAGGCCTACATAAAGTACAACCCCATACCACATTGACTCTGACCACTTTCTCAGGACTACCCTACAGTGGTTCTAACACAGCTCCTAACTATAACCCACTGGTCCTAAAAACTAGTCCATAAACTTGAGATAATTGCTTAAGATACAGGTCCTTTGTGTGTGTAAGGGCACCATACAGTAATCCATGACAAGTTACCATGAAATAACAGACTGGGTGTGACTGCTCAGTTACGTTAGAAATATCAATTACCTTTATTAGATGGAAGGGTTTAAATTGTCATTTAGTTCAAACAGGGCCCAGGGCTGCAAGCACCACCTGGGGATGAGAAAATTGCATTCTTGAAGAGAATTTACAAATAAACACATGCTATAATACATTAAACAGAGCTCCGACTTTTTAGTTAACTGTTAAAAATTGAAGTGTTTTTAAATTTAGAAAATGGTAAAAATGTGAATTAGTCCGTCATAAAGTAATATCAAGACACTGTGGTTTGCCACTAATTATATTGAGTGGTCTACCAGCATTAATCAATCAAGTTGTCTAACAACATTAACCTATAGAGTTGTCTAACAGCATTAGCCTATAGAGTTGTCTAACAGCATTAGCCTATAGAGTTGTCTAACAGCATTAGCCTATAGAGTTGTCTAACAGCATTAGCCTATAGAGTTGTCTAACAGCATTAGCCTATAGAGTTGTCTAACAGCATTAGCCTATAGAGTTGTCTAACAGCATTAGCCTATGTAGTTGTCTAACAGCATTAGCCTATAGAGTTGTCTAACAGCATTAGCCTATAGAGTTGTCTAACAGCATTAGCCTATAGAGTTGTCTAACAGCATTAGCCTATAGAGTTGTCTAACAGCATTAGCCTATAAAGTTGTCTAACAGCATTAGCCTATAGTTGTCTAACAGCATTAGCCTATAGAGTTGTCTAACAGCATTAGCCTATAGAGTTGTCTAACAGCATTAGCCTATAGAGTTGTCTAACAGCATTAGCCTATAGTTGTCTAACAGCATTAGCCTATAGAGTTGTCTAACAGCATTAGCCTATAGAGTTGTCTGAAGTAGTTAAGTTCAAGAGCATTGCTTTACAATGTTTCAGGAAACATAGCTTGACCAACCAGTAGGCTCCTTTTAACAAAACAACTGCACACAGTGTATTACGATTTTTTTGCTTCGTACTTTAAAATATTATGTGGCGTAAAACATTTTAAACCCACAAAGTCTGAATAATATCAACAATAATTTGTTTGTCCTACTGAATGTTTATAGAAAATGTAGTGAACACAAGAGATACAAATATGTGATTTTATTCCATTCCGTGAATGTATATAGCCCATTATTAGATCACCGAATCTATGAATAGCGTTAAGGGAAGACCAGTCAGGGCATTTCATAGACATCTTTAATCTCCCATCTCAGTATACTAATTATAAAATATATTTCTTAAAGTTATAATATTTTGATATAAGTGGAAACACATTGGGGTACTAGTTGTCTATTTTTGGGCCGGGGGGGGGGAGGGACGGGACAAATCCTAGACTGATATTATCAGTCAGGGTTAAACTTGAACAGTAGACTTAACAAAATACAGGACTTCTTGGTCAGAGTATAACTAACTAATACGGTGGATGTTCAATGAGCAAGTCTAGAGCTGGATTAAAAGAGATATGAAATGATGGGATCAAGTTAGATAGACACCACTTGTACGTTAGTAGACCCAGTGTATGACTTGTGTCGACCTTATGGTGCTCTGTGGTGCTAAAATTTGTAGACACCTTTTTTTTTTTAATGTGCTTGTAGTTACACTATGGTATCTTGGATTTTTTGGGTGTTGTATTAATAAATATCATGTAGCAGTTGTTTGTTGTGGTTAAAGTGTATTTTATGCTGTCAGCTTTACCACTACAGTTGATCTCATAATGTAATTCGTAGTTTGTGAGGCTTGTTTGGTGTGTTGTGTTAGTGTTTTGTGTGTCATTCTGAGGGACTCAATATAACGAATATTTACATATACTGTTATGGAAGGCTGAAGATATGCCATATGCGTAATTTATTCTTCAGTACAGAGACGTTATCAGCGTAAACTTTAACCAAGCGACAAAACAAATCAAAAAGCCAATATGTGACCATGTAAAGTTAGTCGCTTAGCCTACCGAGCTTTTTGACTCTACCAGTTGTCGTACTGGAATGTAAATTATGTGGTAATGTCGCGCTGTGTCGGGGCTGCATCTCCCTCTTATATTAATACTTTATTTAAGCATCAGACCTTACCTAAACAATGTAAGGTTCTCCTACAGTGTGTGGGCGCTGTCAGCGATGCGCTTTGAATCGATAGCTGGGCATGTTATCTATCAGTGCACTGATAATTGATGAGCACGTGTTGCACTCAGCCACCACAATAGATGTGTAAGGGCTGGGTTAGTGGGGGGGGGGGGGGGAGTCGATAATCCATACAGAGTATCGTACTGCTGGTTAGTCGGCATCAGGCGAGTCATCAGGCACGTCAGCCGAACTCAAATGTTCATCGTCAGATAGGACTGATGGACCCCCACCACAACACGCACGATTGTTGGACTGAAACGCACGTTTGACGGACTAGCCAAAAGACATGATAGATAATGCACGTGCTTGTTGCTAAGTCGCTGGACATATGATGCCACGCACACTCTGGTTGGACAAGCCAACAACGACATATGACCCCTCCCCCATTGGACAAGTCAACGATGACATATGACCCCTCCCCATTGGACAAGTCAACAATGACATATGACCCCTCCCCATTGGACAAGTCAACAATGACATATGACCCCTCCCCATTGGACAAGTCAACAATGACATATGACCCCTCCCCCATTGGACAAGTCAACAATGACATATGACCCCACCACACACACTCTTGTTAGACAAGTCGACCCCTCACCCATTGGACAAGTCAACGATGACATATGACCCCTCCCCCATTGGACAAGTCAACAATGACATATGACCCCACCACACACACTCTTGTTAGACAAGTCGACCCCTCACCCATTGGACATGTCAACAACGACATATGACCCCTCCCCCATTGGACAAGTCAACAACGACATATGACCCCTCCCCCATTGGACAAGTCAACAACGACATATGACCCCTCCCCCATTGGACAAGTCAACAATGACATATGACCCCACCACACACACTCTTGTTAGACAAGTCGACCCCTCACCCATTGGACAAGTCAACAACGACATATGACCCCTCCCCCATTGGACAAGTCAACAACGACATATGACCCCTCCCCCATTGGACAAGTCAACAACGACATATGACCCCTCCCCCATTGGACAAGTCAACAACGACATATGACCCCACCACACACACTCTTGTTGGACAAGTCGGCCACAACATATGACCCCCCCCTCCCCCACTTTAGTTGGACAGTCGTCGACCATGACAGTTGACCCCTACTCTAAGAAGACCCCTGCTCTTGTTGGATAACCCCCAGTGCTAATCTGCCATACTTCCCGCCGTCACCCAGTGACTTGAGAGCACCAGAGATCTCTAGGACAATGACCCTTACAACAGAATAAAAAAATAAAAGTTGTGTATATTTTTTTTAAACGGGATCAGATTGAGACAATGACCCTTACAACAGAATAAAAAAATAAAAGTTGTATATTTTTTTTTAAAACGGGATCAGATTGAGACAATGACCCTTACAACAGAATAAAAAAATAAAAGTTGTGTATATTTTTTTTAAACGGGATCAGATTGAGACAATGACCCTTACAACAGAATAAAAAAATAAAAGTTGTGTATTTTTTTTTTAAACGGGATCAGATTGAGACAATGACCCTTACAACAGAATAAAAAAATAAAAGTTGTGTATATTTTTTTTAAACGGGATCAGATTGAGACAATGACCCTTACAACAGAATAAAAAAATAAAAGTTGTGTATTTTTTTTTTAAACGGGATCAGATTGAGACAATGACCCTTACAACAGAATAAAAAAATAAAAGTTGTGTATTTTTTTTTTAAACGGGATCAGATTGAGACAATGACCCTTACAACAGAATAAAAAAATAAAAGTTGTGTATTTTTTTTTTAAACGGGATCAGATTGAGACAATGACCCTTACAACACAGAATAACAGTTGTGTATTTTTGAAACTGGATCGTATTGCGACAACCAACTGTGGCAGTAAGAATGTCCGGGTGTCTACGTTTACTGATGTATATTTACGGGTTGGAAGAATTTTTTAAAGAATCGATGTCTGTGCTAGAAGTGTAATCTGTTGTAGCTGCTTATACATTTTTTTTGTTACTGTTTCAAAAGTAGACGTGACTTTACTGACTTATAAAAATTAGCCACGTCACTAAGCAACGGTGGTATTTCGAAATATATTTCCACTCTAATTCATGTCTTTTTTTTATTACTATCTACTTCCACCAAAATTTAATGACAAAGTAACAATTCTACTATTCTACCCAAATCTACTTCCACCTAAAATATAATGACAAAGTAACAATTTTACTATCCTACCCAAATCTACTTCCACCAAAATATAATGACAAAGTAACAATTTTACTATCCTACCAAAATCCACTTCCACCTAAAATGTTCTTATAAAGTAACAATTTTACTATTCTACCTAAATCTACTTCCACCTTAAATGTTCTTATAAACAAATCTACTTCCACCTAAAATGTTCTTATAAAGTAACAATTTTACTATTCTACCCAAATCTACTTCCACCTAAAATTTTCTTATAAAGTAACAATTTTACTATTCTACCCAAATCTACTTCCACCTAAAATGTTCTTATAAAGTAACAATTTTACTATTCTACCCAAATCTACTTCCACCTAAAATGTTCTTATAAAGTAACAATTTTACTATTCTACCTAAATCTACTTCCACCTAAAATGTTCTTATAAAGTAACAATTTTACTATTCTACCCAAATCTACTTCCACCTAAAATGTTCTTATAAAGTAACAATTTTACCATTCTACCTAAATCTACTTCCACCTAAACTGCCCTAATAAGGCAGCAACCTACTAACCCAACCAAACCTACTCTCCACCTATAATGTTCTGATAAAGTCACAATCTACTCTCCAACCCAATGTCTTGCAACAAGCACGACGTAAGCAGACTGCAGTCTATTTTTAAACTGGGGCATTGACTTTTTCAGATCCTTTCCTTTCATGGTTCCACTTTTTTCCCCTCCCTTCCCCCGCCCCACCCTTCTCTCTCACACACACATATGAGATCAATAGCGGAGGCAGAATTTCGCGACTTTCGCGGCTGCATCTCTTTGTGCAAACAGT